ACATTTTTATTAGGTCGAGCCCCCCTGAAACCCCCCTACTCTTGACTCTTGGGGCCCAAACCGGCGAATAATCATTGGGGGTGGGAAATGCCGAAAAAGCACCATTCTTTGCTTGAATTTTGATTTTCTGGCTTTAGTGTTTCCTTCCAGTGTCGCGCTTAGTTCACTCCTGAATGACAACCTGGCAATTCAGGGTCTCTGGCGTTCAGCTTTAGACTTTAACGAACAAAACTACAGAATCACCTGCAATTTTTAGTGCCAAGTCTGTACGTTATAGTAAAACCATCCATCCAAGAAGACTTACTCATTGTCACATTGTGTGGAGGACAGTTTGTTAAGTGGTTGTCTTTGACAGGTGGATGTCTTTAGGACACGGTCGTTATATTACAGAAGAAAATGCAAATGGGGAAGTGGGAAGTAGTCGTTTATAAACAGATGATATTGATTGTCTTGGACAGGTGTCCATTAGAACAGGTTTGACTCCTGTATGATAATTATTATTTAAAAGGCCCAATAATTATGATATTATTATGATTTAATATCGATTAGGGCTTGTAAGTTGAAGCGGGCTATGGTCCTTTAACGCTTTGATAATTTGAAGTGATATTGCGACTGAAAATCATCCGTTCCGCTCACTTTATGTAGTTCTGGGACAGGCCTGAGAAGTCTTTTGCAGTCACTCTTAGCTGGGTGACCAGATGGGGTATTTTGTACTGCTGGCTGTGTGACTGCAAAGTGTACCTAGATATATATATGTGACTCATCATGGTGAAATCAGGCATTTGTCAAAATGATTAAATTGAAAAAACTAGCCTTTTAATTTTTTCTCAGGTTTGTCAATTTCTATCAATTTCTTGTTTTTTGGCTCCACAGCTTTTATGACGATTTTAAAACGCATTTCTGGGTGGATTTTACTGAAAAATGTTGATTACAGGCACAAAAAATGTAAATTTCCTGTTCCCAAGCCTTGGAAGTCACCAAATACACAATTTATTTATACGCTTTTACTGATTATTGCAATAATAACTCTATTTGCTGAAAAATTGACAAACGTCTGATTATACCTATGCGCAACGCAAATGTATATTTTATTGCTGTATAAGAACACTTTTAACAGTGAGGCATCATGGTGAAATCAGGTGCTCATCAAAATAATTAAACCAAAGTAACAGGCATTTTTCTGCACGTTTGTGAATTTTTGTAGAAATTTTTTTTTGGGCTCGACACCTTTTATATTAAAGAACGCAGTTCTGTGCGGATTTTACTGAAAAACGTTGTTTAAAGGCACACAAAAATGTACATTTTCAATTTCCAGGGACTCTGAAGCTAAGGAAATTATTACTAATATTTGGCGGCCATTTTCTCACTAATTTTACCTCTGAAACCGGGTGACCCCCACCTCCTTCATTCGCAAATATCTCGACTTGTATTAAAAATAAATGAATGTTTTTTTTTTCCAAAGCAAGACAAATGAAGCTTTAAGATGATACTATTAACTCTACCTGCCCAAAAATTGACAAGAGCCTGATTCCACCGCTTTGTGACTCATGATATATTTTTTATTGATTTTGTCAGCATCAACATGGAGTTTTGGGATCCTGGTCAGGTCGTTGGGATTCTGATTGTCGCAGTCGTTGTGCTGATTTCTGCATACATATATTTCTGTTGGACACTTGTGCGATGTGACAGCAAGGCCGATTTGACGGGCAAAGTTGCAATTGTTACTGGTGCCAATACTGGTGAGCTCTTTAATCTGCTTATTTTACCCTACTTTTTACATTAAATTTCAGTTTTCACCTGATTATAGTCCTGCCTCTGATTTTCATACAGCAATGACAATGACAATCTTTATTCATCTCGCAATGAGAAATGTGTCTTGGTTGTTAACAATGACAGTTGACGTTACAAAGATTAGGTACACTCACGCATACGTACAACAAGACAGGACATTAGTAAATACATGTCTCTCTCTCTCTCTCTCTCTCTCTCTCTCTCTCTCTCTCTCTCTCTCTCTTTCTCTCTCTCTCTCTCTCTCTGTCTCTCTTTCTCTTTCTCTCTCTGTCTCTCTCTCTCTCTCTCTCTCTCTCTCTCTCATTTGTAGCACTGTGTGTTCAGTAACCAGTAACCTCACTGCAGTAGGTACGAATGAATTTCTCATATATATATCTGTCTGTTCTTGCTTTTTTGGAAATGTATTGTTTCCTGTGGGTCAATAGTTGAAATTCCGATGTCAGTGGGTGGCTACGGTTACTTAACATTATTTCCGCCTTTCTTAGAACGTTTGACAGTGTGAATGGATGCTTTTTAAGCAAGGTGCTCACAGGTGAACATGAAGTTGACGCCCAAGTGCTTATGTGGATCTAAGGAAGGGTGCTTACGAGGTGTTATCGGATACCCACACTATGAGTGTATCATAAGTAGTTCAGTTACTACATTTGCTCTGCTATGTATAATGAACCCAAAGGCCTGGACAATCAATTTTCCTCCATCTTTAGAATCTCAATGTCTGTGTGAAAGACAGTTGTTTTCAGTCGTTCTGGTGTGTTCTGCTATTTCTGCTTTATTCAATGCTGCTTTGAATTATTTATGCTTTGTTACTTTTTTGTGGGAAAATATTTTCCCCAAGGAATTTTGTGTTTGATTCTTTATTTTTTATTTCCATTTCACAAATTTGAAAACAAGATTACTTTTCAATTCTTGGGTTTTTTGTTGTCAAGTGAATGTATCAATCCCAAAGTCTATACAGTGAAACTGGGAAATAACAGAAGTCGCCGGGCCTGACAGCCACCCAAACGACCTCTCTTAACCTTGACACACACTTGGACACATCTTTTTTATGCGTATGTCAACAACAGACTTGTTGGTGTGAAAAAAAGTTTCCAATTTTTTTTGCATGAGGTGACTGCAATAGACTAGGCTAAGCATGTAATGATCCACTTTGCAAGTGCGATTGATGGTCTCATGGAATAGAGTAGATAAGCTTCGTTGAGGAAGAAAAATGCATGAAGCCTCGTCAGCAGGGGCTGTTTGCTGTGGAAGCTACTTCGTTGAATCCGAGTTTGCTCGTTTATGTATTCGTTGAATCCCAAGTTATTTTGTTGATTTTATTGAATTTTTAAAAGCAGTAAATGCGTCGCCTTTTGTTGAATCCAAGTTTTCATTGAATCTGAGTTCCACTGTGCATGACCTGTCACATGTTAATTAATGCTTTAGTGTGAATAAATTTAATGAAAAAATTGAGGGTCACTCTCCACTGTAAGTCTGCCAAAGTAAACTCCTGTTTAACTATTAATGGTCAGGTATCTGATATTGAGTAGATAATGCTGGCGTGATTTCAACTCTATTTGAGTTGCATGTTTTGTGGATGTTGAAATGACATACATTATGATACATTTGTCCTTCACAGGGATTGGTTACCACACGGCTCTAGACCTTGCAAAAAGAAATGCCAGAGTTATTCTCGCTTGTCGCAACAAGGAAAAGGCTGAACAGGCCAGGGATGAAATCATTGCTGCGTCTCAGAACAAGAGTGTGGTGGTGCAGATTGTGGACTTGTGCTTGATGAAATCAGTGCGAGATTTTGTGGGAAGAATTGTGGCAGAAGAGCGACGGCTTGACATTCTTGTGAACAATGCTGGAGTTGTTTGTGAGTTCATATATTAGTAATTCATGCCTTCGTTTTCCCTTCTTTCATGTGTTTAATAATTGAATGCTTAGAGAGTATCACTGACAAATTAAACTTCTGTCTTATCTGCTCATTATTCTGTTTAATAGTTTGTTTATCTTTTTAAACACATTTGACCATATATTTTTAATATGCCTGAGGTTTAGTTTTAGTAAGGTTTTACTGCGCCCACAACTGGTTAAGGTCATATGAGTACCAAGGGGTGGATGTCAGCTGACAAGTCCAAACGGAAAATCAGGCTTACTCTTCTCACCTCTCAAACCTCAACAGCACAAAGTCTGCTGTGACTATCAAGGCACCCAGGAAATAACAGTTCACAAGAGAGTGACAAACATACAAAAGAAGTAGAGGAAAAATGACAATAGTTAGGATGAGGAAAGAAAAAGCAGCAGTTCCCCCTATATATATTGTTCTGGTTGTTCTGGCACAATATGAGCATGACATTGATAAATCAGTCCATTTACAATTCTACTGTGCATAAGAACATGTTAATACAGTTAATATCCCCTCTTTGGGAATGGCCTAAAGACACCTTCAGTCAGTAGCACTGCCCTGGTGGTAATCCATTCAGTCGTGCCTATATCATTTTTTGTTGTGATTGATGGTGGGTGCCTTTGTCTGACCTGCTCCTTTAATTTTTTTTCTGTAAAACTGCTGTCATTATCCATTCCTGTTCACATAAATATAGTGATTTATTGTTCTGACTTAGAGTAAGTAAGTCTTCAACTACCACATCTTTTTAATGCCCTTGTTAGAAGAAACAACCTTTCAGTGTTCTTAAGAAAAGATAATGCATGCTTTTATTCATTTTCCCCAGCTACTTGAATGTATTCAGGCTTGGTAAGTTAAAGAGATATCCCATAGAATTTTGGAGAGAAATATGGCCGAGAACCTATGTTTGCATGAACTTGGCTTTCACCATCATATTATATATCCCCTAAAACTTCAAAGAAAAACCCTATGTTGATGTGTGGATACTTTACAGTATAATTTATTAACTGGGCACACTCTTTTCAAGATGAGCTTAGAAAATGGGTCAACTACTTCCAGAACTAAGACATGTGGTGACCAAAAAAAAAGTGCATGTTTCAATCGCCATCAGTTTTATGTCTCCTCTTGTCATATACTCTCAGTGAAGATTGCTACACTGTTCTCATGTTCATGCTCTTTTTCACTTTCAGCTGCAGGGAAACCAAGAGAAGTGACGGATGAGGGTTTTGAGACACTGTTTGCAGCTAACTATTTTGGTCCATTCCTTCTCACTAATTTGTTATTAGGTATGTTGATGTGCAAAAGGAAGCCGTTACTGTTTTTGCTTTAAAAAAAAATATTTTAGTTATTCTTATTAATATGTATGTATGTATGTATGTAAGAATGAATAATGCGCGTTAGAGAGTGTTTTCTGGGAATAATGTTGGAGAAAGACTTTGTTTGTGTCTTTAGAGTAATTGGGATGTTTGTTCTGTCTTTGGGTCAAAGAGCAGAGCCTTTTGTTTTAAGATCTTTTTCCTTCAGCATGTGTCAAAAATACTGAAGAGATAGGATTAGAAATGAATATTTTTTTTACATATAATTTAACTCTAAAGAAACCATAGAGTTTACAAATGTTCTAACTGGATTTTTTTTAAACGGTGTGTAACAGGGGAGAATCCTGTCACCGTGTGTGTTTTCTCAAAGGGGCATTTTTGTTTGTTTTCCAGATTTAATGAAAAAGTCAACCCCTAGTCGCATTGTCAATGTGTCATCTGTCGTCAACAAGTTTGGCACCATAGACTTCAATAACCTTCAGGCAGAAAAGTCCTTTCAGTATCACGCCCGATACTTTGACAGCAAGCTGGCCTTTGTATTATTCACCCGGGAGTTGGCGAAAAGGCTTGAGGGATCAGGTATGGCATCTGTGTATCCGTCTATCATAGCATTGTGAATTATTTGAGTGACCTTACTGATCTCACAGCGAAAAAAGCATCCTGTTTGTCCATAACTTTTTTTATAATAGACCTGTCTCCCCCTATCTTTCTCATTTTCCCATCTCCACTTTTACCCTTTTACTCAAAAATATTAATTAGCCTAACGTCATTGATTAAAGTGTCGTTTATTTTTTTAAATATATAGCAGAATATGTGTTTTTAAAAGCCCAATTGGGGCCAGCACAAATGATGGAGAACCAGTTGTTTTCTTATAGACTAAGAAATAAAAATGTGCAGTCTTTAATGTGTTGCTGCTCTCATTTAAATCTCAACCATCAATGTAAACAAATTACTCCTTAGACCTGATTTCTCCAATTGTTCAAAGGAAGCAAGGTTGACAGTCCCATTTTCCTTAAGAGCAACGGTAGGGAAAAAAAACTTCTATTAAAAAAACTATAACTGGTTGTTAGGAATTAAAATAAAGTATCACTCTTTAAGACTAAAATGCTCTGCAACCAATGTTTTGTGTCTTTTATTGTTGCAGGTGTAACTGCCAATGTCCTTCATCCAGGGAGTGTGTACACTGATCTCCTCAGGCACTTGAATCCTTTGATCAGGATTCCAATCCTTGTTTTCATGAGATTCTTTTGCAGGGTAAGTTCACGATATTGCAAAATCGCCCTGACTGTGCTATCATTTACTTCTTATTGTTTTTCTTCCTTTGCATGCTTTTTCATTTTTAGCCAATGTACAATTATGCTGATGGATTGGCTTGGGTAAAGAAATTGAGCTGACCCGTCTAAACTTGTCAAATGGAAATGAGCTTCAATAGACTCTGGAGAAGTCTTCTTGATATTTTTTGCCCGAGCTGTTGATCTACATTAGAACAGCGGTATTGGTTAAAGTACACATTCTATTGTGTCTCACATTTTATTCATACAAGTTACAACAATTCAAGTACACCTATAAGTGGATTTCGTGAGACATTCGAACCTTTATTGTTCCCCCATTGTTTTACTGGCCTTTGAGTCTTGAGAGTTATTCTGAGTGGTAAGTGACTTGACACCGAAAAACTGATGCACTTGAGTAACGTCAATCAGGTCATCATGCTATTGTACCTTGACCGCAGCTCAAAGAAGCCTGGCCGAGTTTTCTCTCCACTCTTTGTAGCAGCTCACGCAAAAAAGAGTTCCGAGGTGTGACATAAGAACACCCCCCCCACCCCTCCATTAGATGTCAAGAGTGCGGGAAGAAAGTCTGCTAGGAACAAGATTTTTGCCCCCACCCCCTTTTCTGATTGTATTCTACAGCCATCATGCTTCTTTTCCATGTCATACACTTGTTGTTTCGGTAGTGCTTTTATTGTTAAGCAATATTGCCAAAAACAGCCTGATTCCTTTTTGAGTCAAAACATATTTATAATATTTTGTCTTTTAGTTTCAACGATACATCCACAAGTCATCAACTGGCTCGTCAATGTCTGCCTTTCTATTTTTTTTAAAGTGTTTGTATTGTACTAGTCTGTCTGTTCCCAGGTGCCAACTAGCTGAACCCTTATATAAATACTTGTATTACAACACAACAAAAGATGCAATGTTTGTTTGTTAAATTTGTTTTTAACCATTGTTTCTCTCTGTGATCTAGTATTGTGTAATATAGTGTAAAGCGCATAGAGCCTGCTGTTGAGCGGGGATATGCGCTATACAAATACTATCTATTATTATTATTATTATTATTGTGTAAAAGTAAAAGGTATAACTAATGAATTTCATTATATTTTTTTTTTATTCGCTTCAGTTAGTATAATGAACTAATTTGAAAGACTTTTTTCCCATTAATGTTTTTTTGAACTGGTAGGGCCAATTTATTTTAAAATAGATTTTTTTTAGACTGAAATGTTGACCTTAATTGAAATAGTCTAATGAACTGAAATGTTTATTCGGTGGAAATTTTTTCCAACAGTCTCCGGAAGAAGGGGCCCAGACGAGCATTTACTTGGCTGTCTCCGAAGATGTGGCTGAGATCTCTGGGAAATACTTTGTGGACTGTGACATCCAGGAAAAAGAAGCCAATCCGGTGTCACGGAATATGGAGCTGGCTGCCAAGTTGTGGAAAGTGTCTGCTGAACTGACTGGCTTGGAAAGTAACTGAATTCAAATTGGGTGCTCAATAATTTAACTGAAAAAGGGAATCAATGGAAATGGAATGAGCTTACTGTTTGAACTTTGTCAGAAAGGGTACAAGAGAAAAATGTCTGCTAAATATACTGGCTTGGAAATTGAATGAATGGAAGGTCGCTGCTGAAGTAAGAGGCTTGGGATTTGAATGAGTTGAGAAATCTCACCAGAAAGTGCTAGTGGGGTTTGAAAGTGTCTGTTGAATTGGATGGCATGAAAAGTCAAAAGTAGAATGATTTATTGCTGAACTGGCCAGGAAAATGAATGAGTGCCTTACTCGAAACTAAAGAAATTATGCTTGAAGGAGGTATATATACAGCGGAGCCTGCTCTGACGACCATCTATTCAAGATATTTATTGCATTTTTAAAAATATTATAATGTCACTGTGCAAGAGGACTACCTATCTAAGATAACAGTTTCTCTCCTCAACAAAAGGTGGCTGTCTTGGACAAGTTTGACTGTAATTTATACTCTGCGTTTCATGACAAATTGAATTCTGAAATAATTCATCTTAATCTCGATAATAAATGTTTGTGCATTATTTTAATTATGTGAAAAAAGACCTTTCTGTTATCATACTTCATTTGTTACCATTCATCTGCCTCATTTTGATGGAATGACAATGTTGATGTGATTTTCTGCTCTCTTCTGCAACAAGCTTGTTCAGTATCAGCAAAGTTTTGTTCATGTTATAGTTATAGAGACATTATTTTAGTGCAGTGACAGTTGCAATAATACACTGCAAAGCTTCAGATGAAAATAAAAGAAAGAGATTGGAAAGAACATGGGCTACCCTATAGCTACTGATTGATATCAGTACATAAAGTGGTTCTTTTGACTTCATGAGTTTAAGAAACGTGAGATATTTCAGATTACCAGATTATTTGTTCTGTTATCATTCCTTTTTCTGGCCATGTGACCTTTGGAAGCAACATTGGTGGGTCCCATTTCTTCTATCTCCCTCTGATGGTTTTTATCTTTGTGCCTTGTTTTTTCCTGACACTAAATGACCCTCATCATTTTGACTTGCTTCTTTACTCAAACAGAACCTTTTCCCCAAGTGACTTTTAGTACTTCTCATTTCTTATTTAACCCTTAAAACCCTGAATTCTTTTTTTTCATACCTCCCTAGAATCCTGAATTAAAATTGAGATACTAGAAAAAATTAGGTTGGTTCATTATTTTGTTTACTGTGTTTGTAATTGTTGTTAGATTTTACTGAAGTTTGAAAATGTTATTTATATATGAATGCACAGTCTGAACAAAAGGGGAAAAGGTTAAAACACTGGTTTTTAGGACCAACTCTATGAGTTAAGTCTTGTGTGTGATCCCCGACACAATTTCAGTCAAAGTATCATTAGACCCAGCCGTAGATCTAGCCTCTGGTAGCTTTAGTGGTGATCTCCTGCCAATTCCACTATCGTCAAAATCATCACCGATGTTATTCGGAACATTACAATCGTCTTCAACGGTCATATTTATCGATATATCCGACTGGGAGATCATTATTGGGGTCTGGTTTGGATCAAAAATGTCAAAAATTTTGCGGCCTGTAGGGCCAAGCAGCGAAAAGTGACTAATTTTTCTTAAAAACTCGCAAAATTTCCAAACTTTCGGTGTAGAACTGCTCTCATGACATTATCGGTACTTTCTGCTCGCGACAGAGTCATCTGGAGTTACATCCCCTGTTTCTAGCACTGGGAATTAAACGATAAAGTCGACCAGCGGTTACCAGCGGTATAGGAAAATAAGGCGTCAGCGGTTACCAGCGGTATAGGGTTTTAAGGGTTAACAATCTATCAAGTTCTAAAAACTCAAATATGTGTGCCATCTGCTCATTCTACTACTTGTTATCAGTGTTTCTGTTGTCCTTGGCAAAATGACTGAACACACTCAACGCAAGCAACAGCTGGGAAGAGCAAGGTCTAAAATAACTATTTTTTTAGATTTGTTGATGCTCATCAGTTGAGTTTGAGATAACTGTGAGTTTGCATTGTTACAGCCAGTGTTGTGACATCTTACACTGAAGTTGATGGTGGGCAATTATTTGCCCCTTTGTAGGAAACATTGTAGGATGGCACATTCCATACAGTGTTACTGTAGTGTGTTTGTTTGCGATTTGCTATTATAGTACATTATACTATATGTTGTGTTGAAAATATGTGTGTAAGTTGTGTTAGTAATATGTATGTGGTATATATGTGTGGATTTTAAATGCACTTAGAAACTGTTTTTATAATATTGTATTCCTATTCTTACGAATGAGGAGTTGTTAGACGGATTTCTTGACTACAATATGTTACATGGACTATATTATCAATTTCAAATAAACCTGGTCTATGAGGGACTTAAATGGGCTGTATTTTGCCCTTCTTTTTTATATCTTTTTTTTATCTGGCATCCTTATTTTACCCAATGGGTGCCATTGTTTCATCACAGCTGAGCCTTCAACAGATGCAGCATACCTATGAAATATGCATAATGGTGTCTTCTCAGCTGTGTTTTCTTCTTATGATGGATGTATTTATTTTATATACATGTACCATAATGATTGTACTCAAAGAACTCTGAAAGCCATACGCACAAAAGAATGAGAGGAGATTTTAATGTGTCACCATAAGACACACTGACAAAAGGATGAGAAGAGTTTTATGTGTCTCCATATTATCTGTAACAAGTCCCAATTTTATCTTTTTAAAAAGTGTCTTGATGCAGTGGAATCAGGCATTTATCAAAATAATGAAATCGAAAAAGTCCACATTTTCCCGTTGGATGAGCACTTTTTAGCAAATTTTTTGTTTTGGGTTCAACTCAAAATGGAAACACATTCATGTGTGGATTTTGTTGAAAAATGTTGATCAAAGACACACAAAAAAATGGAAATTTGCAGTTTCCAAAGATACTGCAGCTTTGTAACGCAAGTCACCAAACTTTGGTGGCCATTGTCTCGCTAATTTTACTTCAGACCCCAGGCTACCCCCCACTTCTTTCAAACATGAAAATCTCAGCTTCTATTCAAGATAGATGGGTATTTTTTTCATTAAAAGCAAGACAAATAAACAAGCTTTAAGATAATACAAATTACTCCATAATAAAAAAATGACAAAGTGTGATTCCACCGTGTCATGACACAAATTGTTGCATTATTCATTTTTTTCTCTGAGAGTGTTGTCTAATAGTAGTATAGAAGGTGAGGAGTAAACTCACCATCCATCCAGTCAGATGTTTTGGTTTGTACTGGGTGAAGCTTGCTTCAGACATTAAAAAATATGTTTACGATTCACCGCTTTTTTGGAGTGTTTTTTCTGTTAATACTACATGGTGACTGTGGCATGAGTTGGAGGGACTCTATGTACCATGGATGTCTTCTTCTAATTTTTTTTTTTTTTTTAAATGACATTGACAGTCATTGACCATTCATAAAAGAGAACATCATTTTGAATCAGCATCCCACTCCAACCGGACGGTATGGAAATAAATGTTTATAATTGTTTTGACTGATAATTTGAAAGCACCAAAATCAGGTGAGGTTTCAAAATGAATGAGCGTGGTTCTGGATCTTTTGCTGTTATTGTTGTTGAAATTTATTGTTGTGCAAGATTCAAGATAGGTCATTTCGAAGAAGGAGCATCTTTGGACATTAATATTTTAGTTCCGGGGAGAACTTGAAAAATAATCTGGACTACACTAGAATTCAAACTTCAAACTTCTGCTTGAAGGATTGAGTTTGTAACCTACTGCATCACAGTGGTAATACCTTTTCAATATTTTAGTTACTACAGAGCAAAAAATGCAACATCATGTTGTCACATAGTCGCAAGATTTTTTGGACGTTTTTTTGTTTGCTTTAAGTGTAGGGCTTTTTTAGACAATGCGTTGAATGCACCTACTTTGTACTGGTCCAGAGAGACTGGATTCTAATACTAAGTGTTACTGTTTTTATATCGGCAACGGTGTTACTGTTTTTATATCAGCAAGAATTTGATTTCCCTTTTAACACAAGACATTTAAATATACACATCCTGACAAAAGTATTTAATTTGCTCTCATTTATCATAATTTCTTCATCCTATGGAAATTGAAAAAAAAAAAGACAACAACTCTCTTCTGAGATTCGGGTAGTGTTCAGCCTTTGTGACCAAAAGTCTTAAATGACTGTCAAGAAGGAAATATTCATAGGCAACACCTCTCATCAAAATTTTGCTTCATGACTCTGCAACCATTGGCTGTGTCACTGGGGCATGTGTCAACACAGAAAGGCAGGGGGCTCTCGTGGTCTAGAGGGACGATGTTCACCTCTCATTCAATAGATCCTGGGTTCGAAACCTGACAGCAATGGAAAATTGTCTTCTCTAAAAAAATGTTCTCCTTTCACCTTTTCTGCTATCTAATCAGGTTCTGTTGTCTGCTTTTGTATCCACTTTCTGCCCCCCCCCCCCCCCCCCCCTTTTTGCACCCTCTGGGCTCCCAACTCCTTCTGCTGCCTTTTAACTTGGTTCCTTCTTACTGCTGTCTTCCAGCCACACCCCTGATCTGTGGAGAGGTAAGATCTAACGCCTAACCTTTATGGATAAGGGTAGACTTTGGCCACCATCAGTGCAAAATCCAAAATTAATTCCTACCAAACTGAAAATGCTTAATGACGTTAAGTGTCCTGCGCGCTCATATGACCTTTTGCAGTTACGAGCGCTGTAAAACTTATTTTAAAAAAACAACAACAATAGCAATAACAACAAATCAGACTGGCTGAAAGGAAAGGTCATCTCAAGATGACTGCGCTGGATATGTACAGCCATTCTCTTTTCCAGTCATAATCTATCTTCCTGGTCTTATTCTAACATCAGATCAAGAAGTGTTTTTAATTAAGGTACACTGAACAGACAAAAACTTGTTTTAGAAAGAGTTTTTAAAAGTTTTAGTAGAGGTTTTACGGCGCTCGCAACTGCATAAGGTCATATGAGCACCAGATTAGAGGTGTTACAGGAGAGTAACAAACATAAAAAAGAAGAAGGGGGAGATAAGGAAGATAGATGTTTCATAGGAAAGAAAAAGCAAACCACCCCAGAGCACCCGCCAACCACCCACAGAAAAAGTTTTACAGCACTCTCAACACAATAAGGTCATATAAGTGACGAAAATTAGGCCCGCCTCACATAGAACGTGACCTTTCACGTGTGACGTTTTACCACACAACTGCAACATTACGTGCCTCACTTTATCTGATCCCTAAAATCTAGGTTCTGTCATCCCCTCACGCCCAGCAAGGCTGCGAAAATGGATTCCTCTGATTAAAGAGGCATTGTTGACAATCGTGTTGTTAAAAAATGATTTTAAAAAGATCAAGTGGATCCGTACCCATTTTCTGATGGAGCGCAAGGATGAAACTTTGTTCTTCAACTACAATCGAACCTGCCCTGAAGGCCACCTCTATAAGACGGCCACGTGTACTAACCGGCCACTTCCCATCTCCCCCCCCCCCCCCCCCCCCCCCCCCCCCCCCCCCCTTGCGTATTTTCTATATAATATAACTGTAAAACGGGCACCTGTCCGCCGCCGATACTTTATTTTATCAACCCAAGGCCAAATCTACCTACCTAAGACGGCCAGACTTTGTTAAAAATTATGCATTTTCCCCTGACGCTGTGGACAAGCCGTTATAATTAATTCACCTGTCGCTGTTGTTAGTCCCTCCAACGGATGAACGGTCATGTTGCTTAGGTCACTCCAAATGTTTACCCAAGTTCACCAATGGGTAACAATACATTTTCAGCTGCTGGTAAGGGAAGCGTGAGATCCGTCATAACCTATAAGGCCTGGCTGCAACTGTCCATAAACTCAGTCCATAACAAATGAAGTCAACGCAAACTCCAGACAGAGGTGTTGCTCGTTCGCCGAGTGGTAGCGACCCATTTGTTTGTTTTACTATGACACTTGGCCTTCCTCGTCTGAAACATTTGACTTTTCCCGGAACCATAATTTTAAAAAAATTATTTGTTTAAATCTAACAACAAAAAGTCCCACAAAATCCGTCCTACTTCTCCGCCCCCTTTCAAAAGAAATAAAACAAAAAGAACAACAACCACAAAAACACATTTTAATCAGCCCAAGGGCAGTCCTAAGCATGCAACCACCTCCAGTTGGGACCTCAGAAGTAAATAGTTTGTTTTCTTCATTTTGATCAGTCCTGCCTGAGACGGCCACTTTCCCCCTCGACAATACGTGGCCGTCTTACACGGGTTCGACTGCAGTCGAACCTGCTCTGACGGCCATCTCTATAAGACGGCCACTTTCCATTTTCCCCCTCGCGTTTTTTTTTCTATAACTGTGTAAAACGGGCACCTGTCCAACACGGCCGCCATATTTTAAAACACAACCCCTATCACACCAAACAATAACACCTATCTTAGACGGCCACCTTAGTGACGCCATTACGTTTTGTCATAAATCGTGTATTGGCCCCTGGCGTTGGGACTGAGCGAGCCGTCATACTCCAATCACCTGTCGTTATTGTTACTTAGTCCCTCCAACCGATCATGTTGCGTAGGCCCCTCCCACTGCTGACCAATAGGTAACAAATTTTCAGCGGCTGGTGAGGTAAGCGTGTGATCCCTCATAACCCATAAGCCCCGCCCAGAAATCATACACAAATCGTAAGTGAAATGAGTGGTCACTGTATACCCAGTCTGTAACAAAGTAACAACGGATGTCAACATGAACTTGTGACAGAACCGTCGCTCGTTCTCCGAGTGGTGGCGACCCATGGGTTTGTTTTACCACAGCACTCGGACCAATTCGTTTTATTGTCACCCTTGCACAAAAGCAGCAACAAAATACCCCCCCCCCCAGCGAAAACAACAACAACAACAATGCGGCTATTTTCGGTTGGGACCTCAGAAAGGAATGGTTTGTCTTCTTCATCTTAATCAGTCCTGCCTAAGACGGCCATCTGTCTTATACGGCCCCTTTTCTCCTTGACAATGGGTGACCGTCTTACACAGGTTCGACTGTATTTCTGTTAGATCTGTTTTAGTTTGATTGATTAATTAATTCTGGAAATAGCCGTAGTTAGCTGATGTCTGATATGCATCCACGGAAGAATCTGACTGCGCTGGGTATTTATATGTGTGTGGAAACTGAAGGACATGTTTCTGCCTTTGAATGACGGCTTGAATAAAATCCATCTGTAATTTCATCAACTGACCGTCGTCGAACGAATCAGTGACATTATTGATCCAAAAAAGTCCAGTCTTGGGGAGTCATTTGGTACTCAACGCAGGGGATGACAAGACACGACTCAAAAAGAATCGGCATGCACATTCCTCCCCTCACGTGAACACACACTTTACAACGAGACAAGCGTGAGGCAACTGCTTATGTGAGGAGTGCCGTTAAAATTCTACTGAACACTTTTGCTTACACACGTGACCCGTGTCTATTCACACGCGTGACCTGTCAATTGACGCTCTATATAGTCTATATGAGGCTGGCCTTAGAGGTGTTACAGGAGAGTAACAAACACAAAATAGAAGGAGGGGAGATAAAGGACGTTAGATGTTTGATAGGAAAGGTGCAAACCACACCAGATCACCCATTCACCACCCACAGACAAAAACTAAAAATGAAACTTCATGTTAAAACCAAAAAAACCCCCAAAGCAGCAACAAGAGGAGTGTGATCGTAACTCGTTTAATGCTGGCAAAGCAACAGTTCATTGTGCAGAGTTTGATCAAATTCAAGAAAACTATGTACACATACAAGTGTTATTTTGTAAAAGCAATACAACACACAAAGGCTCACATCAACAAATTCATTTCATCTTCTCACTTTTGTGGAACAAAACCAAAAACCCAATAAAAAATAACTTAATGAAAATCACATAGCTCGGAGCAGAACAAGTATGTGTGGTATGGTGGTGAAATCAGGCACTCGTCAAAATAAAGAAACTAAAGAAACGGACATCTATCTACCCGGTGGACTATTTAATTTTTATCCAATTTCTTTTTTGGCTAAACGTCTTTTATGTCCATTTAAAAACACATTTCATTGTAAATTTTACTTTAAAAAATGATCAAAGGTACACACTTTGAGAGCCATTTACTTGATGATTTTACCTGACAACAGGCAAGCCCCACATCCTTCAATCACAAATATTTAACTTCTTCTATTCAAGATAGATGGATATATTTTCTAAATTAAAAGCAAGACAACTAAACCAGCTTTAAAATTATATGAGTAGTTCCACACTCCCCAAAATTGACGAGCACCCGATTTTAACGTGTCATGACACATATATTAAGAAATGAATATTCCATTAAACATCTCTACACAAAATGTAACTAAAATTCTGTAAAGAGAGACCTACGCTGTTCTCAGGTCAAACTGTTACAATTAAAATTAAAATCCAATCTCAGCACATCGTCATCGTTGATGCTATGTCAAGACCTCTATACTTGTATCATCAGTATCCGACAAATCGTGTTTCCACCAAATTTGATCAAACACTGTTTTACGGGGGGGGGGGAGTAATTTCTTTCTTTTCATCTCCCAGAATTGCTCAAATTTTTATGTAGGGTGGGTTTTTTTTTACTTACTACAGTATTACGAATTACAATTACTGATGTGAATACCATAATTTCAGACTAAAGATGTGTTTGATCTAATTTGACGGATATATGGTTAAAGTCGCATACTGACGATATATGATAATAATATAAATAGATAAACACGAGGTCAGCACATGAGAATGACCATGGCAAAATATGTAACTTCTTGATTCCAACATCTAGAAATGAAACTAAAAAAAATAAATAACTGAAATCACCTCTTCAAAAAAAAAAAAATCATATATTCAAACAATTCAAAGCTTCCTTCAAAATTTAATAACTGGCTTCAAAACATGAAAGTTTCATGGGGATACTCATGGCACCTTTGCAAGCATAATATTTCACAAGTTGTTATAATTATTTTTGAACGATCGGAAAAGTCCAATAATTAGGTAGACAACACTGATGATGGAATAATTCACTCTGATAAGTTTCACCTTGAAATACTTTCTGTATCCAGAGACACTGCCAAGCACTCATTCTGAAGTACTTCAACAATTCTCCTGTGCAATCAAAATATTCCAAATATGACTTATGCAGTTTGCTACAGTCAGACTCAGATGTTTGGTTCATCATCTTATTTATTCGTATTTCCATTTTTATTTCTCTTTCTTACTGTTTGTGACTGTCAGTTTTTGTTGTGTGGTATTTCCTCTATACAGATCTATTTTCGTTTTTGTCCCCATGTCACCTACTAAATCTGACATCAAAACAAGTACAAATGCATGTTTTGAATTTGTTGGGTTCATGTATATTTAACATTTGTTCCATCCCTGACATTTTCACATATATGCAGTGTCATCTTTTTACAAACTTCAAACCAAGCCTTTCTACAGAAAGCCATCAGTAGCATAAGTTATACAGATGGTGCAAAACACACATAGTCTACCCCAAACAAAATCATTCCTACACACACACACACAAAAAAGATACACATTCTCCTATTGGAAATGATCATTCAATACATGCTCAACTTGAAACCAATGGAGGTCAACATGTATTTTTCAACTAATATTCACCACAAAAAACAGTTAAACAATAACATTAGAAAACATAATATCTTGACAATAGGTTGCTCATTTACTTCATTCAGTCGTCTTCATCAATCTCTCAGGATGACAAGTCTATGTAAACACTCTTCGAAAAATGTTAGGGACCACCGTTAAATATGTTTGCATTTTTCATACGACATTTATAAATGTATGTTATTTATACCTTTAGAAATGATACCTGCTATATTCGAGCAGTCAATTCAACAATGTGTAAATAACTTCATATTGTGCTTGAGTTGTGAACACGAGGCCTGTGCTAAAATGTGTGATTTCATAAAAAAGTAGCTTGTTTTTAAACGTTTCATAAAAAGAAATTATACTGCGTCTTAAGTGTATAAAGAGAACTTTCATGTGGTAAATCATTATGTTGAGTGAACACTACGCCCATGCAATAACTATAAAAGTAAAAGCACTTGAAATGAGTCAAAAATTTTATTCGCCAAACACTACACCTAGGAGAAAGTTGAATTCACACGAGAATAGCCCTGATCTAAACCCAATTGAACATTTATGTGGGACAAGCTAGTCTGCCTTGTCATGGAAAATTACCCAGCTCCTTCACAATCTTTAGCCAGAGTGAAATGCTATTCAACAAGTGTTCCTAGCAAACCTGGTTCGGTCTATGAACAATAGATAGAGTGCTTAGCTAATTATTGAGGACACACTCGTTACTGTGCCTTGTATTGAAACCTCCATTTTGGTGATTTTTTTATTTTGGGGGGTACCCATTTCAACAGTACATATTGTTGTTGGAGTTGATTTGTTACAATGTTTGATATTATCACAGGTTTCCTTAAAGGGGAGACGTAAACACCAGCAAAAATTTTCAAAAACGAAAGACTACCATTCACTTTCATGTAATTCTGCAAGAAGCTCATTCATAAAAATAAGATGTATTAAGGGTGAATTTCTTGATATGTTCCTGAAAAATGTGTCTTTGCGGCGGCCATCTAGAATTTTCAAACCAGTTTCTCAGTGTGGATGAACGTCATAGAAAATATTGGAATTTCAACCTGAAATTTCGCACACCATTTCACTATCTGTAAAAAACCAGACTTGTTTTTTTTTTATCTCTTATCCTTTAAATTCATAAAAGCATTTCTTTTTTCGAAGAGTGTACATAAAGCAAAACACACATTTCATCTTCTTCTATCGCACTTTGTTTACACTACACGACATCTACTACCAAAATCTCCTGGGTTATAAGTTTTCTGCCCTGACTTGTTAAAGTTCTGGCACTCATTTTAGGAAACAGCAGAAACTGTGCTGCATGAGTTGACAATCTACACACAGTGAACGTTACACTTTTTCCACAATTGCACCAAATTTGGATTTTCCACATACAGCACAACAAACTTTGGTGGGTTTTTTGGGGGGCTTTTTCCTGGGTCAGCCAAATAAACTTTCATAGGAACATACATATCTCCAAAGATGGCTCAGTCAGCAAGTAGAAAACTTGAGCATGGTTTCATATAGCTTCAACTGTAATAATGTCATTTTCAGAACCCAGAAGTACTTGAACCTCTATTTCTTTTAAAAAGGGGAAGTCACATACAGGCAACTGTACACATCTTTCACTTGGACAAAGCCACAGTTCACTGGACACACAATTACTCACACCAGTTTCACAGCAGACCGTATCTTGAGCACATTAGAGGTAAAAAGACCCTCTTACTTCATAGTTTGACAAATGTACACTGGCCAGTCTGATGGTCTGTTCAAACAATGCAAATCTAGCAAGTCAATTAAGCTGCTACTCCACTTAATACTAAAACCTCTGTTACCAACTTCTGCATGCAATTCTTACAACATAATTTAAAGTTGACAACCTTGTCCCCACTACTGTTGCTGTATGCACCAACTCACGCACGCTTAATAAATATTTGCAGTATAATACATTACAATCTCTGATATTCTGATATGCGATGCAAATGATGTGATGACCTAGCTTTCATATGACAAAATTGCAGCATTCAAAATACATACATGATGAGAGTACCTTTATATCTTCAGTGCATTAACATAGCAATTTATATCAATATCTCACTGCAGCCCAACAGGCAATGAGACAGGAAAGGATTCCCCTGTCGGCAGCAGTAAACCAGCAAAATGGTTAACAACAAACACCAAAACAACCACACAACATCAGAATACAAAAATATGAAATACTTATTTCACACACATGAGATGACGATGGACAAAGTCACTGACAAGAAAAACAGTTGCCCATGCATTATTATTATACAACGTTAATACTGTCTAGCACACACATGGCCAACAATTTTTCCAGTCCCGAATTTTTTTTGCACTATAACCTTTGTTTTTAATTAAAATACGCATATATAGCGAAATTTGTACACAACAAAAAGATTTCCATATCCCGTTGATTTCGCCATGTGCATGCTTGACAATAATTTTCTCACTGTACAGTACATATCAAGTTGTATCTCAAGAGCAGCCTCCTTCCCTCCCTCTAGCCCGCACAGGGAAACACAGTGGTCCCACTGGAATCACCACTTGCTAGACAGCCAGTTAAGTCAGGCATATGTCCCTGAGACCAATAACTACCATTAAAAAAACCCAAAATAATGTGGTTGGCACATCTTTACCTGAACAACCCCTGCAGGAATGACTATTTAGAATCCATTTGAAAAGTGTTCATGTGTTCATACCATTCAAACATTGACATCAACACAGAAATTTAATTTTTAACATGGACTGTGTACCTGCAGTCTTCAGCTCCATGTGCCTCAATTTGACAGGCCCAAGAGACAGCTAGTAAAATTCCAAGTTAGTCTTCAGCAACTGAAAAGTTCCTGTGACCTTGTCCTTTGCGCTTGGTGAGAACTTGGAATGTAAGTACTACTAGTGGGATCACAGGCTGCTTCAAGACAACTACTTCAATAACATTACAAGAAAAAAAATATAGTTAACCTGTTCCCTCTGCTGTTGACGTAAGGTGCACACCCTCAAAAGGGTCCCTCTGTGCAATACTGACATACATCAAAACAACTACGATGTTTGTCCACAGCATATCGTTGGTTATTGAAAGATTTTAGGACTTTAAATATAGGTGGTGTCTTCTGGGAAGAGTAACCATTTCTGAAACAACTGCAGATTAATGTTAACATCTTTGTCGATGTTGCGTGAAATTTGAATAGTGGATGTGAAAGTGCAAGGTTAGCAGGAAATTGTCTTAGGAGATGTGGATCTAAAAAGAAAGCTAGGCAGGGAACAGGTTATTACACTAAAGTGCTGGTCCTACCAAATAGCATATATATCTTCTCCGGCTTCCGTCTTTCAACACTGGATACAAATTCCAACTGAGCTAATCACCAAAAATACATGGATCTGATTTAAAACCACACTGAGAGGGGAAACAACAACATTAGCACCTGCAAGGAACAAACTACAAAGTAACCAGGAGATGAACTGATGATTTCATACAAGTAAATGCTGCATTAATAAATATTTGATCATCTTTTGGGACACAACGAGTCTATAGATTGTTTCTGTACTATAAATAACTGGCATAAAAACTAGTAACAAAAAGGTTGAAAAAGAAAGTTTTGTTTCTTAGTTAAGAGTCAAAGAGATGCACACTGGCGCAGTTAGTACAACTACAACAAAATGTTAAACAAAGGAAAAACAACAGATTAAGGTAACAAGTCTGGAGAATAAATAAAGTCCAAAGTTACCATGTACCCAACTCCCTTGAAAAATAAGAAAAGTACATGAAACAATTTTAATTGTCTTTGAGCACTTGTGACCCTTATATAAGAACTGTGGTATCAAAACCAAAATAATGAAGTCATGGGTTAATATGTCAAAGACTGATCAGGCTACAAAACTCAAGACACAGCAAATAATCGTTGGACATGGGGGTTGTGGTGCCAATCATGTACTAGTAATATCTACAATAATCAATAGTCACCCTCAAATTATATACGCACTCTCTTTTTCCGCCTCATCATTTTACACTCATGAACTTGAAGCATTCACCCAAAGACCACCTCAAAATGCATTCAACAAAGCAAGCATGTGTTTTATTTTTTAAATCTATAAACACTACTTAACGGGTGGACAAAGCACCCCCTCCTGCTTTATCATTATCAATCACTCCCCCCAACACAACGTGGGTGTGTGACACTCGTGATACTCTGCATAACTGTTCATGAGAGTATGCGAACCTGTAAGAGTTCAGAAGAAGTCAAACGCCTTTCTGGACACAACTTGAGTTGTTTCAAAAGTAGACCACTCAGTTACCCAACTCGAGAGGAGTGAGTTGAGATGAAAAACATTCTAGGACAGGAGACTAGAAAAATAAGGACTCCTCTCGATTACTTATGACCCATACTACAACAGGAATATAGTTAATCTAGGTAATGCACGACAGAATTGTCATTTCACTTATGTTGGTCTCTCTTACCAAGGTTTCCTACATTATCTATCCTGTTCATACTATCTGTCTACATTTATTACTCACAAGTTATCAAGCACAACCAGACTGGATACCTACTTTTGAAAATTGCACACAATGAAGCCCCCCCCCCCCAAAAAAAAACCAAAAAAAAAAACAAACAACCACCAACAACAACAGAAAAAGAAATTTCAACTTGTAGGACTAGATTGTAGATTGCGCCAAGTCCGAACTCAAAATAAAAGAGGAAGAGAGTGACAAATGAGAACAAATATCAATAACAATCAAATATTACCACCACATAGATTTTAAAAAATTAAAATAGCAAACCCATTAAACAAGAATTTAAGAGAATTTCAAAAACAAATGTGCCATAAAATATATACCCTTTAGAGTCTACACAAGAAATAGGCCAGCAGCCACAAGGGGTCAAGAAAATAAAAAAATGATTCGAGGGGGAAAAAAGGACTTCACTTTGACACAAGACCATAAAGCTCCCAAGTGTCACCAACAAGCTGTTTCAAAACAGTTGGTGTGATAGTAAAGATTTTACAGCTTAGTGCAAATGACAGCCAAATTGCATTGTGCATTTTGAATCATCAATATTGCAAAAATATACACAGCTGTGGTATAACCACTTGCGCAACTGTTTCTGTACACTAAAAAAAATTTGTTTAAAATAATTAATTTTAATATTCTTTAGCTTGTTCAATCATCCTGCTGCTTTTGGCAACTGTCACCTTTAAAACAAAAAAATAGTGGAAAAAACACACACAAAATATATCGTACACAATGATACACAATATTTGATACATCTGTTCACGTAAAACTCTTTGTATCCACAGCATTTAAAGGCCATACTACTGGAAAAGCCAAAATCCACAAACCTAGAGAAAAGATGAATTTGATAAAATGCACAAGATAGCACTATGTAAAAAACATTCAAGAGTTTTTTGTTGAGCACTGGCAGTCCTATGTAATAAAACATATCTGTCCTCATTTTGGACATCTGTCAAATGTTTGAAGACTCAGAATAACTTTTTAGTTATCAACCAATGACTATTTACTTTGGCGGAACGGGGAGGAGGATTCCAAGATATATATGCTTTTGAAACAAGAAATAATTTTAAATTTCAATGCTCTAGGCACTGCTTCTCAATATGCTAGGTCAGGTAAAAAAATATAATTATTAAATTACAATTAAATTTCAACATCAAGAGTTCGCGCGATGTAACAGTGAAGAATGTTTTGCTCTGATAACGACAGATCATACATAAATATTGAGTTTAGAGGCGAGGAAGAATTACAGAAGCCGAAACAAATTGACTAGACATTGACATTCCCACATAGACATGGCCTTAAGTAATTGTAACCCTTCTACAACTAAAGCCTAAAATAAAAGGCCTCATCTTAAACAGGCTTAAGTAGACCTTAAAAAAAATTATTGTACTGCATCCATCACTTTGTTATTGAACATGAGTATGGCCATCACTAAGAGTCATCAAAAGCAGCTGGGAGTATTCCATATTCCTGCATATATCACATCATATAGAAAAGCATACTCTTCCACACTACACACACCCACAAACTTCCTTTCTTCTGTTTGACATCTGAGAGCAGTGAACTTTAATACAACTCAGAAGTTTTTAAGCGATCAAAACAATAATTTCAAATCCCATAACAAGGGTCGGGGGCAAGGCTTAAAATCAATAACAATGTAAGTCCAGGATCAGATTTGAACCACAGTAACGGCACCGTTAACAGCAACACCTCCATGCACTCTGTCCTCACATTCTTGCAGATTGCACACACACACACACACGTTTAGAGGGGCCTGTTCCCACTGGCATCTGGAGTGGTGTCGGCGAGATTCTGCTGTAGCTGCACTAGCCAGCGTTTGGTGGTGGTGTCATCCTTGAGACAGTTCTGGAAGGTGAGATCTTTGAGCTGGTCCGGCAGACACTGGCGGAGGGCTTCTCTGGCCCTGTTGAAGAACAATACAACAGTTTTAACGGATTCTTTTTAAGTTAGATTCAGATCACATGCCTAAAAATCAAACAAAATATTGTACACTCAAGATATAATCAGTTAAATTTGAGTGCTGCAAGGGTGGCGTAACATTTTCTAAGATATGTTGTAGAATTACACAGACTGTGTCAGAAAGACAAAGCAGGAAATGTTCAATTACAAATTAGATTCACATAACATACATTATTCTCTACATAATAATAAACTGCATTTATATAGCGCATTTCCACAAAGAAGTGCTCAATGCGCTGTACAATAAAACAAGGAACATATGCAGCGCACAATTCCTATAGTAATCCTCTCTCTCTGTATCTCTATCTCTCCAGTGCATCCTTGAGTAAAGACAATCCTACAAAACTTACCCAGACACCCTCGTACACATTGATGACATCACAAAGTCATAAATTAAGGATTGAAACTGGACTGAAACAAATGCGTTTTAAGTGCTGATTTAAATTTTGATAACGTTGTAGACTCGTAGAAGAGCTGGCAAAGCGTTCCACAGTGAGGGGCCATGGTGTGAAAAAGCTCTCCCTTCGGGTCTCTGACTTTTGCTTTGGGCAGGTCTTAAAAGTATTTTCTTCGCCGACCTTAAGGGCTGAGAAGGTATATATTCGATGACCATGTCACAAAAATATGGGGGTGCAATTTTGTGGACACACTTAAAACAAAGGACAATTATTTTGTACTGAATTCATGCTTTCACCGGGAGCCAATGTAGTTGAATTAGCATTGGTGTTACATGCTCTTTGAGAGATTTCTTTAAAATTATGTGAGTAGCATGGTTCTGGAGTCGCTGAAACCTATTTAACGTTTCTGTGTGAAGGTTTCCAAGCAAAGAATTGCAGTAGTTTAGACATGAAAGGGTAAAAGAAGAGACGAGGGTTTTGATGGAATCAACACTATGATATGTTGACATTTGTCCTATTCTGCGTAGTTCAAAATAAATTACTTTACATAGATGGTTTATATAATGATGCATAGATAATTTTCAGTCAAAATAAAAATCTAAATTTTTCGCTTTATCTCTGAAAAAGATGTTATCATATCCAATATATATATATGGTCAAAATTTAGAAGCAATATCCCTGGTTTGGCATTGCAAAACAGAACTTCGGTCTCATCATCATTCATTTTAATTCTGTTTGATATCATCCAGTTTTTAACATCAACAATACATTTTTCCATGCTGGTAACTAGACAATTGAAATTTGTTGGTAAAACAGACTTGTACAGCTGAGCGTAGTCCGCGTACAAGTGGTAATTAACGTTGTGCTTCCTAATTATTGAACCAAAGGGCTTTGTATATTGTGTGTATGAGAGTGGTCCGAGCACGGATCCTTGGGGCACGCCAAATTGCAAGCTGAGAATGGATGACATTTCACCATTTACAAGTACAGACTATGTACGATTAGACAAATAGGACTCAAACGATTCAAGATGATTCGCCAAAAAGAAAAAAAAATTCATCTTCAGCAAGTGCTTGGACTATGAAACAAATTTTTTCTAGTCTTTCAGAGCTCAATCTCGTCCGTTTTCACTATACTTTTCTGTCTCTGAAAGGATACTACCTGACAAATTCAATCATCACACAATGCTTACCTTGAATTATCTGAAAGACGAAGGTAGCAACGAACCACGTGCTTAAGAAGACGAGCGGAGGGTTCTTTTGAAAGAGCCAAAACCATTTTGCCCTGGACAAAAAAGGAAGCATAAGCATGAAGGAATAATTAACATTATAGAAAAAAAGGAGGGAAACCGACTTACTTGTCACAATGCTTAAATGTAAGAATACAGTACAATAGGGACATCATAACTGTTTTGCAAAGGCTTAAGCAGTACTTTAGTCTGGTAAATAAATGAACTTTTTACTCAGTATACTTAGATCACACAATCGGACTTATGTTTTTAAGGAGAAGGGTATATCATGACATTTATTTTCGTGGCCAGGACCATAATTGACGAACTCTGTATATCAGGTTAAGAAATGACAGTGACGAATTTAACAAACTACTACCAACCTCCCCCCCCCCCCCCAACATACCAAAATAAAAAATGAGTCTATTCAAACTTTGATCACAGAGACTCACTTTCGAAAACAGCAATAAAAAAATATTTGAATTTAAATATCCGATGTAACTTTAAAAAATCTAATATCAAGGGTAAGTTGGGTTTTTTTAAGATGGGGGGGGGGGGGGGGCGGGGGGGGGGGGCGCACTCTTTACTATTAAACAAGTCAGTGTAAGTCTCAGTGTAAATCTCTAAACCAGTTATAATGAAATTAGTTAAGAAAACTTACCAGGATCATGGCCACATGAGAAAATCTTTCATAAGTATGGCAAATATAGCCAAGTCCTGTTTCATCTAGAAGAATCTTTTGCAGGATGAATGTAGCAACCTGAGGAAAAAAATAAACAACCAAAGCGTTACAAGCTCCAGAATGTTTGTCCCTTTCCAAAACAAACAGTTCACTGGCCTATCAAAAGAGGTGAGCATAGAGCAAAAAAGACAACAGAATATAAGAATATGAGGCTGAAAAGAAAATGAGGACAATGACATTGAACCAACAGCCACATGGAGACAAATGTTGGAGCTGTAGTTTACAATGAGCACAAAAACTCCTACATTTTGCAAGGAACTAATTGGGACAAGAACAACACTAACAAGAAGATAATACCATAGTTGTTCGCCTGTTGTCCAAGTTCAATACAAATGACTGACAACGTGGATAATTCTCATGGAACTTTACACAGTCAAACCGGTCTTAGAGATCACCTCACCATAGCAGTCACCTGTACAAATGGCCACCGTTCCGTAACACCCTTGTAATTTTTCTATATTTTAACCTGCCCATTGTGGTGCCTTTCCAACAAGGCCATGGTCAGTCATTTTCGCTTGAAGTCTGCCTCAAACTCAAAACCTGTTTCTAAAGATCATTTGCTAAAAAAAAAAAAAGTTTTCCTTCATACCTAAGACCGAGTGTGTGCCCTTATTCAATTAATGCTAAAAAGCTTTCATGAAAGATAAAAATATTTGATGGAATTGAAAAAGAAAGATTGAATTGAGATTTAAAATTTTTAACCATCTGTTGGCTTTGTCAAGTCTAGTAAGTGACCATAACTCACACCCTGCCCATAGCAGCCACCTGTCTATAACAGTCACTTTTCTCTGTGATATTGAGTGACTATTATGCGACAGGTTTCGCTGTATATGTTAAAAAACGCAGACTTACTGTTTTGGAAAGCTCACTACCCCCTTCCATGATGCGGAGGCATAGTGGGATAATCTCGGTGTTCAGAAGGAAGTTGATCACTTCTTGTTCGTCAGTCTGTGGGAAAAGAAATAAGAAATAAATTGCATTGTGATGAAATTACCTTCGATATGTAAGCAGTCAAACAAAATTTTATTTAGTGGATTTTCTTTAGTAACTCTGACCATTAAATAAATACCAAGAAAAGCTTTATAAGACTTGGTTCCACACCTTTCATAACCACAAAATTCAAGAATGAAATTTTTCAAACTTTGATTCATAGATTATTCAAATGTATTTGAAATGATGAGCTATTTCAAATACTGGAAAAGCCAGACATTATCAGGAATTTGTACTGGGACCATAACGCTGCTGTACGAATTAATGGAGAATACAGAGAATATAAACAAATTAGAAGAGGAGTGAGGCAAGGATGTGTTATGTCACCAGACCTCTTTAACATGTACAGTGAAACAATCCTTAGAAACATAGAAGAATGTCCAGGTTTCAAAGTGAATGGCGAAAATATTAATAACATCAGATATGCCGATGACACAGTTTTAATAGCAGACTCAGAAAAGGACCTTTAATCGCTTCTAGATGCTGTTGCAACAGAAAGTGAACATAAAGGACTGTTGTTGAATGTAAAGAAAACAGAATGCTTGGTAATATCTAAAAAAACAGCAAATCCTATTTGTAATCTCATTAGCAAAGGTGAAAAGATCAAACAAGTCCAACAGTTTAAATATCTAGGGTATATAATAACATCTGATGCCAAATGTTCCACAGAAATAAAACGCAAAATTGCAATGGCTAAGGCTAGTTTCAATAAAGTGAGCCCAATCCTGAAAAATAGAAACATTTCAATGACTACCAAATTGAAAGTTCTGAAATGCTGTGAAATGAGTGTATGGTCAACCCATCTAGATCTATATGGCTGTGAATGCTGGACAAACACCAAAGACAGTGAAAACAAAATAGAAGCAACAGAACAAATGTGGTTTCTTAGGAGACTGCTGAGAATATCTTGGAAGGAAAAGTAATGAAATGAGGTTGTGCTTGATGAAACCCACGTGGGACGCTCACTATTAAAAACAATCAGAAAACGACAAATGCAGTTTTTGGGACACCTGAATAGACATAAAGGTCTTGAACATCTAGCTCTCACTGGCAAAATGGAAGGCAATCGAGGCAGAGTAAAGGAATGAATGGAGAACCATGATCGACGATGTCTGTTGCAGATCTGGCACTGGATGATGATGAGGATGATGGATTTCACCACTCCGGTACACTTAACGCACGGAAGACAGGTCTCGCGAGGTGCACAACCCCTGAAGACTGAGGCTTTTCGGAGTAGTTAAATAATTCATAACTTTACTCACAATAGTTCAGTTGCTCTGATGTTTTCACATAAATAAGAGAAATTTATGTTCTTTCAAATAAAACAAATTTTAATGCTGTATCTTTTACACTTTAAAAAAAAATGAATTTGTGAAAAGCACATGAATTTTGGTTTTCTCGAGAACTTTTTAGATGGACACTTGTTACAAATGAAATTCCCCTTCCCTTTATTTACACCAGATCTACTTACACCTTTAGTAACAGAAATATCACTGTCTGCCTTCGGCGCCCCTCAAGCACAAATTCTGAATCATTAGGAACGCTAAGTTCACTTTCTGATGAACTAGACTCATTGAAAACATTAAAATGTTGCTGGGTTTGCTGCTACACATTCTCTCGAAGTCTGCATGGGGGCAGCCATTTTCCCTAGAGATGTTTGTAAATCATCTTGAGCGACATCCCCTAAAAGTTCATACTAAAAAAAGTTCTACCCCTACTTCCAAGAAACTTCACAGTAAACGAAAAAAAAAAATGGATGCACTAGCTCTGACAACCATTTCCGAGGCGCTCTCGGTATTACAAAAAGTACGAAAAAATTATAAAGCTGGTCCAGACGGGGTCACTGGATCTGGCGTCAGAGGGTAATCGGCCAGCCCCGAGAATGTCTCGGGACATGGCGTCGGTAAGTTAAAGATTAAGTTGCTCATTAATAACTGAGAAAGAAGAAGTACTGTCCTAAACATTGAGTTTCAACCTAGGGGCAATTGCTGACTACCAACCTTCACTAGAGCACCAATGACTCCTAGACTTGTGAGACGAAGGTACTCAAATGGACGGGTTTTGCTCACAGTGTGCAAGAACGGGTACAGGAATAGTGGGATGTGAGCTGAAACAAACATGTAATAATAATAATAATAATAATAGATAGAATTTGTATAGCGCATATCCCCGCTCAACAGCAGGCTCTATGCGCTTTACACTATATTATTACCCCAGCAGACCATAGTACACTCCGAAACATTCTCAGCTTCCCGGGAAGCATACAGTGCGAGCAGCCGATTAAGCGCTCAAACACTAACAAACTGACAAGATCTTTCGCTGTCTATAGCCGGGTACCCATTCCCACCTGGGTGAAGTGAGGAAAATTCGTGTAAAGTGCCTTTCCCAAGGACACAACATCGGGCCCCTGACGGGATTCGAACCCACGACCGTACGGTTGCGAGTCCGAGAGCCTAACCACTAGGCCACCGACGCCACGATGTAAGCACGGATAACGAGACTTCCTCCAAAAAAACACATCTAAACTGATAAGAAACAGATTTACAGATATGAAAAAACAAAACAACTCTATACGTGTAACTCTTACAGCCCCAGTTGCATATTTTCTTACCAGTTCTCATTTTCGTAAGCCCATTCGCATATATTTCCCAAACCAGTTTTCGTTTCCCCGAGCCCAGTGGCGTATATTTCCCTCACAGGGCACCAGCTACCTCAAACCTAGTTGTTTCCTTTTACCTTTATCTAACAAATTGTCTCCGAAAAATATTCTATTATCTTTTACAACTTCAGAGAAAAGTAGTATAGAATTATTTTTTTTAGTGTCTGCAAAACATTGCCAGGCCTGAGAAGTCAAGGAACCCAGTATTGCAGGCCATTGAGAAGTGAGGGCTAAAAACAGCCAGGTTCGACACTCATATTACCTTATACAGTTGTGAGCGCTGTAAAAACTCTACTAAAACTAAACTAACTATAAAATAGCCTGATGCTTTGGGGGTTAAAGTATTTACATATCAAAGAGGTAGTAATAAATTAGAGATAGGTATCTTTTATACAAACATTGGCTTTGAGGAGTTAAATCCCTTTTCTGTAATATCAATGTATGTGATTTGAAGTAGGTTAAGCACTGTCACACTTATTCACTACATATTTTTTTCATCCTCTACTTATATCCTAAGATTTTAGACGACAGCAAATTTTTCACTTTCTTTAAATAACATGATAAAAACAACAAAAGCTACACAAAATTAGCTTACCAGAGAGGAATACTGAACGAGTATCAGGGTGAGAGGCAACACATTGTAGAAGAGCCAGGGCATTGCACACACGGTTGGACTGAGAGGCCTGTGAACAGAAACGTTCGTAAAAGTTTATGAATAATAAGAGGATCTGAATTGCAACGGACCATTAGTTGACACAAAAGTAGCCGTACTCCGCCAGGGACTGACAAGGACTATTTTAAAAAAGCAGAAAAGAAAAAGTTTGTACCACAGCAAAGCAAGATGACCGATGAGAGGGGAAAAAAGCAGAAGCATCAGAAAAGAACTTGAACCTAAAAGTAAGTTATGCATCAACATTTTGAAAAAAAGAAAAACATTGCACTACAACAGTGATCACTAAATATTTCAAGATGCAGAAATAAATTAAGAATAAAAGAGAAGTAAGATCAATCGGTGGTACCCTTCAACCACTTGCTTTAGATGCACACAAACACATACAAAACCCAATGATGATTATAGAAACTCTGGAACACAAGTCATGACTGTCACATTAATATATTAATAAATAGCATAAAATGAGCTCTATGAAACCTCTTTAATCCTGTTATCTTTCTAACTATTGGCCCTTCCATACTATCAGATCATTTAGAGCCAAAATTTGAGTAGATTAAATTTACAAAAGACATTTAGCCAATGACAGCACCAATTACTGAATTTAAAGTGGAGGTGGGGAGAGGTATTAAAGCCTGAAGTTGACTATATGATGGTAGCCCAAATTTCAAACAAGAAGAAATAAATTAATGGCAACAAGAAGTAGGCAGACAGTTGTAAAATCACATTATTAGGTTAAAAACCAAACTAAACTATATTTTTTTTAAATGATTAAATACCAAAAACAAACTTGACTAAACATAAAGTACAAATGGTTACCATCTAATCCTCAAGTTCTCCCTTCATTCTATTCCTCTGTTCTTGCAAAGCAAATATAGCTCAACCCAAACACCAAGGGACACTGAACCAATAAATGATGTATAAATACTTACTGTAAGAACAGGGGGCAGGATGCAAGGGTAGATCTGGATTATCTCTTGTAGAAGTGCAGCTATTGTTCCAAAGGAGTGCCATAGAAGAGGGGCCAAATCTTGGACAACCTCACGTTTTTTACTAAAATTAAAGCAATCATCAGAAATTGTCAGAACTGGCGCCATAAACAACAAATCACATATGGAGGTAAAATGAAAAATTCTGTTTAATAACACTGACCGAGAAAAACTCAGAAACTTAATCATAAATGCACAGTATTACATAACAATGATCGTTATGATTTTTCTTAACCCATTTCATTGCTAAGATGTTTCCATCTACATTTGTAAAGAAAAGAATAAGCATGTTCTTTGAAGAGAGACTTTTTTAAAAGCTGTATATATCTTTCCCCTACTTTAATAGAAACAATTGCACAAACTCTAATTTACTGTGCAAATTACATCTCTGAAAACTTCTATGAAAAACAGAATTTTTTTTTTAGAGAACTAGCTGTGGAGAAGACAAATGAGAGTAGAAAAAGTGAAGGCAGGCTGTCTAATGCAATCCTCCTTCATCAGAACTCGAGCGAGAACAATCATAAATATGAGACTTCGGAGGGAACACAACATGACTAGAGTGACTGGCCTTTGAAAACATGGTACAATTCACAATTCAAAGCTGTAGCAAGGACAGTAATCTCAAAACTTACTTTCTCTCACAAAATATGAGTCACTCTATGTCACCTCATACAGAAGAGGCAACATAAACCTACCAAAAGAGCCTGGATCAAATGGAAAGACAATTCAACAAATCACAAATAAATAGTAAAAGTATCTTTTCAATTCATCTCTATTCTCTTCATAACAGCATAAGCCCTTTTTAACACATACCAGCCCACCACACAGAAAAAATCCCCAAAAGGCCATGAATTAACAAACCAACTAGGCCTATGGCAGACTTTTAAATGCACACACATATATTAGATAATAGCACAAACCTCAACTCCAATAGTGCATTTTCCCTCGTTTTAGGAGATGACAAATCGTTGATCCATTGATAGATCCTTTCTCTATCAACCTGCTGAATTGTTTGAGGCTGGATCATTCCTCTCTACAAAAGTAAAGAAAGGAAGAAAAAGAAATTACTGAACAAATATTGTCTACTGCTACATCAGGCAGGCTTAACCCATTGCCCCAGAGCTATGAGCATATTCGTAGCTGCAGCGCGATTCCGTACACTGAGCTATGACAATAGTCGTAGCAAAATACCTGTCAACAAAATCAAGTATGAACCACTTATCCAGGTATCTATTGAAAATAATAGGTCGCTTGTAGCTAACAAAAACTTTTGCTGGCTTGTTTTGATCCAGTTTTCTGCCAAGTACAAATCAGTTTTGTAGTTTTGTAACTGCAAATCAAGGCAAAAAAGCGAGCACTGAAATCTTCAGGGAGGAGAAGAAAAAAAAAAAAAGCCACAAAAAAACAACAGTACCACGGCTATTTATGATGTGGTTTTTAAAATACATAAACCATGTTTTTTTGTTTTATTATAGAGGCATAAGCGGCAAAGAAAGTGAAAGCAGACGTAAATCTAGATTAAAACAAGGCGATCGGATTGATTTTAGAGCCTTGAAAACTTCGAAGAAAAGAAGATTTACTATAAGTGGCTATGAGTAAATCTCGAGTGCCGATGAGTCAGTCGGACAACGAATATATTGTTTTCTCTGCGCTTTCCTTCAACTTTCTCTCTAACAATATTAAAAGAAGATTTTAAGTAAAATCTAAGCGAAAATTCACATTGATACCTTAAATGCTTTAGTCACAATGCGTGTCAAAAGTTAGTGTGTCGAGTTCAAACTGATTTTTTCCCCTTGCTCACGGCAAGCCAGGTAAACACAAGCGCACTGCCGCGGCAACGCAGGGTGAATTGGGTTAACAAACAATAAATCAGCCGATGGATGAAAGCACACAATCATTACAATGCCATAGAAATGTTGAGAGAAGCAGGATAGAACTTTCGCCATGTAGAGGGTGTCAAAAAACAAAAAGCACCCATTTAAAGGGCAATAACTCGGTCATCAGTGTATTAATAAAATTCCAACCGGGGGGGGGGGGGGGGGGGGGGGGGACACATTAAGTTTGTAAATATGAAGAAAATCTATCGACACCTTCGAGAAATATCAAAATTGGGTCAAAGGCTTAATTTCACTTCTTAAAAGCGTTTAGCTTCAAGGGTGTAATCGACTCGTCCTGGTTTCAGGAACAAGACATTTAAACAACAACAATCCCAACAAATGGATATCTCACTGTGCTGAGAAAGTTTAGTTTCGTTTTAGTAAGAGTTTTATGGCACTTGCAACACAATAAGGTCATATAAGTGCCAAAGATTAGAGGTGTTACAAGAGAGTTACAAACACAAAAAAGGAGGGAAGATAAAGACGATAGATGTCTGAGAGGAAAGAAGAAGCAAACCACACCAGAGCACCCGCCAACCACCCACTGAGAAAGTTCTGGGGAAGTTTGGGGAGGAGAAGGTGTCACGTTGTAGAGGCTTAGTTCCAGTGGGCTGGAGCCCACACCCTAAATGTCTAGAGTGGCATTTGTAAGGTTGTAAGAAATGTTTGGGGAATGCCTTATACGTCAAAAGTTTACCAATGAATGGTCATCACGTTCATGATTACCTTTGGGGTTTTTTGACAAGCAACTTAAAAACACCAAGCCACAAACAATTGAACAGTTAAAACTCAAAATTAAACAGGATGTCAAAAGAATTGGCCCAAAAACCAACCACAGGGTTATAATTCAAATTTTTAAGTCACTTATTGGAGCTTGTACAGGGAGAAATGGTCAACACCTGAAGACTTAAATAGCCATCAACTCCCTGAGTTTATTTGGAAATATAATTTTTGTCTGTTCTTTCCCACACATATAATGACCAACTATTTGAAATAGAATAGTGTGGTTGATTTTTAAGAAGTTGAAAAGTTTTGTGTTTCACTCAATTTGGTAGAAATCTTAAAAACTTCAAACTTAATATCGTTCAAACATGATGGTTGATTTTCTGTTTTGACGGATGTAATGTCCTCGTGGTTGAATTTTATTTAATCAAAGTTACGTTGAAATTGGTCTAAAGATGATGTCATTGCCTTTTAAATGGGTCCTTTTTCTCTGTGACAGTAGCAAAATCAGATATCACCTAAAAAATCAAACAATGAAACATGTACCTAAATAGTAGCTTTTCAGCACATCAATATGGAGTAGAAAATGAACTTCTAGTAGCTAAGTCTAAGTGTGAGACAGGATGGAAAGTAAAAGAATACCGGAAGGACTTCCGTAACGAGTGACCACCTCAACAAACAGTTATTGACGTAGAGACCTAGCCCCAACCCAACCTCTAACCTAACCCTCCTTACCCCTACCCCAAACCCTAACACCTTTTCAAGGCTACAGATTCTCCTGTTTCACAGTAGTCACTCCCTGAGAATGCACCATCACCCGGTTTTAGCGCATTTTTGTCTACCGACCCTTCAAATGAGACAACTTCAGACAAGTTTAGATGAAATGCCCATCTTCCGCGCGCGACAAAAATTTGGTCCCCGTTTGTGGGTGAATTTTAGGACCGGGTCGGAACGATAGTGATTAACTTTCTTGAGCTCATTCTGCGCTATTTCTGGACCAAGGTGAATGAAACTTGGACAACCAATCAGAAAATAAGGCAAACTAATGATATGTGGAAGTCGAAGTTCGTACTCATAAATTAACCTACACTTTTGGCGTTGGAAACACTATCGTATCGAGTACACCGAAACTATACAGAGTTTGATATTCGACGCCGAGATGGTAAGAGATCAATCTTTCCTCTTTAGTGTGTTTAAGTTTGAACCTTCTGTGTCGAGCAGTTGTGCAGAATTTATCATAAATGTACCACTACCCCTCTGTCAAAAGCGGCTTCGCACAGATACCGGCCATTTCCCCCCCACTCCCTTTGCAAATGTATGTGACCTACAAATCCCGGCGCTTTTTCGGTAGTTCCCACCCCGCACTTTTATTCACGGGTTTGGGCCACAAGAGTAGGGGGGTTTCAGGGGGGCTTGCCCCCCTGAATTTTACCATAATTTAATGTTTTGCAGTTGTTAGGTTTGATATCTTAGCTCACCGCGAACCAAACGTATAGATCTAGATCTAGATGTAGGTCAGGCTCAAATAAGGGGGGTGGGAACTACCGAAAAAGCACCCAAATCCCTGCATGATTATTCCCAGCCCGTTCATTGGTCACTTTAAATTGGGCAATGGCAGGTGCGCGCATCCGATTGTTTTTCTCTGTTCCTCTGTAACATTACAAAGGGGGTATTCCGAGGCGAGCTTATCTCGCCTGGGGGTGTTCTCGTCTCAACGGGAAAAAAATGGTTTTTAATTGAAGGGCATGCAAGATTGAATTAAATTATATTTTATGGTTGGCATGGTCTAAAGCCAACAAAGAAAGCTTTGCCATTATTAAATCATGCTGCCAACATTTTCTTAAAGATCCCACATTGTGATACAATGCTATAAATAAAATGCTCTCATCCCGACACCCCTTTTTCGCAAAATCGTCTGATGTACACCAAAATTTTTATTATAACAAAATAATTATGAAAAGCATACCTGCCAACATTGCCAGGGCCAAAATCTGTAGTTGACACAAATTTTTGTCCAAAAATCTGTAGTTGACCTAAAAGATCTGCAGTAAGCTATATTGCCACATGTCGCATACTTAATTTGGGACCCTTTTCAATATTTTGACCCACATCAAAATATGAATGAATGTGTTTGCGACTTCAAACAAATGCAGAAAATGACAAAGAACAAAAAAATATGACAAATATGAAAACTACTAGAGGCATTTACCCTATAGTAGCTGGTGCCGTCCTGTCCTATTCATACGTGCACGCACACACAAATGAAACAAAACAAACAAAAACAAACAAAAAAACACCCCAAAAAACAACAAACCAGAAGCAAAGAAGAAAAGATGAAGAAAAGGTGGGCCTTGGATGACTTAGGCTTAGCCTTGGCCCTTTGCCTTTGCAGAGTTTACAATGAAAGAGTAGGACAGATCCCGAGTCCAAGGCCTGCACCAACACGCATTTTGCTGAGTTCTAGATCTAGTAGTAATTAAAATCTAGAATACTAAAATTTGCTTCCAAGTTCAGCCCCCTCCCCCCCCCCCCCCCCCATGTATCTTTTAAAAAATCAATAATCCCCCCATTCCGGAGTCCTATACCTCGCAGCGCTCAGACTTTGAATGAACTTTGGTGACCCCTACAATTGCCGGTGCTCACAATGTGGTGGAACGCGTAGGTTCATTGGCCAGTCACAATGGCGAGCCCGACAAGACGGTTGTATAACTATAATTTTATTTTATTTTCTGTTCACAAGTGACAGCACAGGACAAATATTGATTTATTTTCAGGGCGACACAGCGTTTGCCATGCACAGCCTGCATGTTGTTACAATTAATGTTGCGTTATCAAACTACTACCAGCAAATTTCTGGGTGGTAACGAAAGTGAAAGTATATCTTGTATATCCCGATCAAACGTCGGTATCACACATACACTTCCGCTTGCCACCAGAGCCACCTGTCCGCGTAAAGAAATATACTCTCGGGGAAGGCGAATGAATATCACAATCGCGACCTGCAAAAATGAACTTAAGGGCGTTATCGGATTTGGTTTTCAAATATTCGATAACTTTCTCAAATTCTTGGGTAATTCACGGGGCCTGGCAGTCACCCTGCTAAGTCGGTGGCTTATCTCTCAAAATCGGTGGATCGGTAGTTTGACCAAAAAGTCGGCGATCTACCGATTTTTTCTATAGGGTTGGCAGGTATGGAAAAGGTTAGTAAATCTGAATGCAGAATCTAAATGATTTCTCCACCCAAAAACACATCGGGTAGCCAAGTTTCTTTCTAACACTCCAGTTAAATACTGAGATATTATCGTTTTTCGACAGAATCTGCTATTGTGTGGTCCACTTTGAGGAGTATTTCCCTATATGTGGGTCATCCATATTTTGCCGACCTTTACAACCATTTATTTCTAGATCTAAATCTTCTTCTTCTTCTATCCCGTGGTTGGGGCACCGTGGCACCACTGCATCTGAAAATCAGCTCTCGCCATCTATCTTTGTCCTCTCTGCTTTCCTCAGATTGTCACCCATCGTCTTTCAAGTCCATTCTATAATTATTTAACGCTGTCCTCCCATCTCCTTTTCTGCCTTCCTCTTTTTCTCTTTCCTTGTATGGTTCATTTCCTACTTAGATCTAGACTGCTTTTTCGGTAGTTCCCAACACATGCCGTTAAACGTAGAAAAGACACATCTTTCTGATTGGCTGCTAATTTTAATACTGTGATGTCATCACTTCCTGGGATACCCACATGGAACGACGTGTTTTCGGTAACATTTCGGATTTCCTAGATCTAGACTCTAGATCTAGATAGTAGGCCTACTTGGACATGATGGAAGACCGCACGAAAATTGTCGTAAAGACGAAGGAGGGTTATATCTAAATTTAGATCTAGATCTACCACCTCCCCCCCTCCTGCATTTTTAATCACTAATATATATTTCTTTTTAAACAACCACTTCAAATCAACTCTACAAATTAGGCCTATAATTTATGGGACTGTTGGTCAGTCGGGAGGAGGAGAAGAGAAAAAAACAAACTGTCCAGGACCGGGATCGAACCGCTCCAAAAATCATTGCACGACTTCAAATGCAGACGCGCTGTCTATTCAGCAATCAGAACTTCCGAGAGAGAGGTGTAGATTAAGCATGATATACACAGACACTTCCATCTTTGGTGCCATGCGGTTGGCTATGTACTTAGATGTAGTCACGTGATTGGAGGGGTATCCTGGTCTGACGTCAAACAAGATTGGCGCCTTACCTAAAAACCGCGGGTGAGAATAGCGCAGACGAGACTTTTGGCTATTCTCACCCGGTGGGCGTTCACCGCCTAGATCTAGGCCAACCAGTGTTGCGTTCACCCTGAACCACAGAAATCTACACTGTGATAACAGAATTGTAAAATTCTGAGCCGTGAACAAATGTTCCATTACTACTGTTAGCCTAAAAGTGTGCAATTTTGTCTGTGGGCAGTGGAAAGAGAGAGAAAGAGAGAGAGGGAGGAGTAGCGCGAGAACTTCAGGGCAAAACAAAATGGCGACCCGCGTAGTTCGACTCGATTCGAAAAGTTAACGCCGTAGCATCTTCGTAGACGACCAAATTAATTTACTTTTGTGTTTTAACATCATTTTTAAACTTTGTTTAGGTCAATTTGATCGTCCACACTGATAGACAGTGTTCTGAAAGAGACAGAGAGAGAGAAGAGGTGAGGAGTAGATCTTGCGAGAACTTCCGGGCAAAACAAAATGGCAACCCGCGTAGTTCGGCTCGATTTAAAAAGTTAAATAGCCGTAGCATCTTTGTAGACAACCAAATTAATTTACTTTTGTGTTTTAACATCATTTTTTAACTTTGTTTTGGTCAATTTGATCGTCCACACCGATAGACAGTATTCAGAAAGAGACAGAGAGAGAGAGAGAGAAGAGGGGAGGAGTAGATCTTGCAAGAACTTCCGGGCCGGTGAGAATAGCCACTTCCTTAATGGCATGTGTTCCCACCCCCCTTAGTTGGGCCTAGATCTAGATCAATCTAGATCTATACGTTCGATCAGCAGCAAGCTAAGATATGAAACTTAACAACTACAAAACATCAAATTATAGTAACAGTAACATTCAGGGGGGCATGTTCGGCGCTTTTTCGGTAGTTCCCACCCCCCTTATTTGATAGAGCCTGACCTACATCTCGATCTATATGCGTTTGATTCGCGGCAAGCTAAGATGTCAAACCTAACAACTGCAAAACATTAAATTGTGGTAAAATTCAGGGGGGCATGCCCCCCTGAAAACCCCCACCTTGTTTTTATTAGGTGAGGGGGGCAAGCCCCCCTGAAACCCCCCTACTCTTGGGGCCAAAACCGGCGAATAACAAATGCGGGGTGGGAACTACCGAAAAAGCGCCGCATGTTCCCCCACCATAATCCATATTTTTGTTAGAGGTCAGGCCCCCTGAAACCCCCCTCCTCTTGGGGCCAAAACCGGCGAATAACAATTGCGGGGTAGGAACTATCTACCAAAAAAGCGTCTAAATCTGGCTGAGGCTAATGAGAGTGGAAAGACAGCAGATCCATAGGCAGAATCACTTTCAGTTTCAGTTACACGCCCTAACCCGCTTGGCCTCAATCTTCAACCATCTGACACACTGTCACACACTGCAGTCAGTAGTACACAGTGAGTACAGCCTTGCCCGCGGCATAAATTTCAATCCCGAATATTCGCATTTGCAATGCATCAAGCAAATCTTTTCCAAAACTTGGACTGAACACAACTGAAATTCTAAACAACGTGCATACCTGTGGCTGATTCAGCGGGTTCATGCTTTCCGTATTTTAAAGTTGATTAGTACAAACCAAGTTCAACAGTAACGATTCTGCTGGGCGCAGGGCTTCCTTCCACCGTCTATAAAACCGGAAGTTTTATTATTTTTAGAGAAAATCCTCCGCACACACGGACGGCTATAAATCCGTGCAGAATAATGTGTATTAGGCCAAGATTCTGTTTCATATATATGAAAAAAATATTTGGAAACAAAGACAAGGGCCTATTGCCATCAGAGGAGTGGAAAAAAACAACAGATTTGGCAATTTCTTTGCCCATCCAGCAAAAAGTTTGTATTGATGTTAAATTTTAATTGATGCCTGTTTCGAATACTGTTGACGCAGGATAGAATCCATCTTCAACAGGCTAAGTGACAGGTTAGTCCGCTGTTCACAGGACAGGTGAAGCCGAATTGAGATTTTATTTTGTTTGCGCTTCCGATGAATAAAATTAAATAATTATCTTTGTATTAGTCCTGAGGATGATGAAATACTAAATTTCAAAGAAATTTTTGTATCAATCATAGTTCTGATTTATTTACCTTTGTTGATTTCAGGCCCGAGCCCGAGTCTTGGGCCATTTTCTGCGGAAGCGAATCTTTGTTTTGATCAGCTGCGAAGAAGTAATAGAAAGACCATAATAATCTTGCCAACCCGAGTTGACGAGATGCACAACTGTTAACCCATGAGACGTAATGTTTCAAATACTCTGATGTATGGCGTAATCTCGGGTATGTGGCTAAGGCTAAGGATGTGATAGTTTTCTTCAATATTCGTCTTTTAGATGTACATTGTATTTGATTCCTAGACGCCTTGGCATGATTTTTCAGAATTGAAACTGAAGAAAGGTAACAGTCATCACGCAACAACACCTCGACAAACTGGGACTCGCATGAATAACCTAGTTTGAGGGGTTGCCACCCCACGCCAGCGCCAGCCAACCCGTTACATCATGAAAAGAATGTGTTGATAATTTTACTTCTTTATTTAGCCCAAATTGAGGCCTAACAGTTATAGTCGCCAATATTTACACCTAGTTTTGTTTTTCAGTGGAAAGTGGCTATTCTCACCCGCCGGAAGTTCTCGCAAGATCAACTCCTCCCCTCTTCTCTCTCTCTCTCTGTCTCTTTTTGAATACTGTCTATCTGTGTGGACGATCAAATTGACCAAAACAAAGTTAAAAAATGATGTTAAAACACAAAAGTAAATTAATTTGGTTGTCTACAAAGATGCTACGCTATTTAACTTTTCGAATCGAGCCGAACTACGCGGGTCGCCATTTTGTTTTGCCCGGAAATTCTCGCGCTACTCCTCTCTCTCTTTTTCTCTCTCTCTCCACTGCCCACAGACAAAATTGTACGCTTTTAGTAGGCTACAGTTGTAATGGAACGTTTGTTCACGGCACAGAATTCTACAATTTTTCTGTTATCACAGTGTAGAATTCTGTGGTTTAGGGTGAACGCAAAATTTGGTGAACGCGCACCGGGTGAGAATAGCCACAAGACTCGCCTGCACTATTCTCACTCCGGGTGAGAATAGAGGTGGCCTTTTCAGTGTGTCCCGTTAAAATGGCTGTATTATTGTTATTACATTAGAGTTACAACAGTAAACACACATGGTGTGTGTATTTATTTTGTATGGATGGAAATATTAGGCTGTAGATCTAGATCTAGATGGTTAACCACTGATGGAAGAAATTCCACTTCTTAAGTGGTAGTGTTAATTGCGACAGTGACGCTTTGACAATTTTAAATGCGGCGTTAATTGTAACAGAGTGAGCACACAGCTCTTTTAATGTTGATGATAAGACTAGAATCTAACATCATCTAGATCTAGATCTAGATCTACCATTTCCGCTTCACTTCCCAGCGTCAGCGTGGTGGTCGTAGGCCTAGTTATCTAATCTCCGCCTGACAAGGGAGGCTTTCTAGAGCAGGCATTCAAATCTTACGATGAATTTGACAAAGCTTTTGCTAAATTTAAAGATGAAAATTTTGTTGCCAGGAAGAAATCATCTGAAACAGTTGAGAAGGCGAACTTGAAGTGTGTGGCAAAAATCTACAAAGACTTTCTGTACGGTTATTAGAGTTGAATTCATTTGTACGCATTTATAGACAGCGCAAATATGGAGGCAACAAATATTAAAAACATCAGCAGCAAACAACAGCGACAAAAACCACTAAGGGCAACATCAGACACAGCCAGAAAGAAGCTGCGACTGTCTTTGATTCTTAGTTTGGTGTGTGCGTGTGTGAGCGCGGGCATAAGGCCAAAGCGTGTTCGGTGTGTTTGTGAGTGTGTGTGTATGTGTAATTGTATGTGTGTGTGTGTGAGTGCGTGTGTGTGTTTGTTTTTCTTTTTTCTTTTTTAAAACTTCTTTTTTTTGTCACAGACTCACTCTGTGGGTGGTTGGCGGGTGCTCTGGTGTGGTTTGCTTCTTCTTTTCTATCAAACATCTATCCTTCTTATCTCCCCTTCTTCTTTTTTATGTTTGTTGCTCCTTTGTAATTCCTCTAATCTTCTGGCGCTCATATGACCTTATGCAGTTGCAAGCGCCGTAAAACCTCTACTATTACTACTAAAACAAAGAGTCACTCTGTCGCAAATAATGTCGCTTTAATTGTCACAGAGTCACTCTGTCGCAATTAACGCTGCTTTAGTTGTCACAGTGTCACTCTGTCGCAATTAACGCTACGTTTTTTGTTGGGTTTTTTTTGGGGGGGGGGGGGTATCCTTTATTAGCATTTTTAAATGTTGCTATACTATTATATATCAAAACAAAGAGAAGATTTATTTTTATAAATACTCTTAGCCTTCAACTAGATGTCAAGATTCCTTTTTAAAAATATGTTCTGCCTGGAAAGAAAATGGTGCTGTACTTAGACTGTTACACCCTGAATTCTGAATGGGGAAATTTACAGCTCTACTGAGCGCTCTCATATGACCTCATGCAGTTGCGAGCACCGTAAAAACTTAGAAAAACAAAAAGACTGCTCTCAGAGATGCTCGGTCTTGAATCGTTCAGCCTTTTTGTATTTGTCTCTACTCTATACCTGTATGTGCAGGAATAAGATAAAAGCAGCTCTGTGTGATGAAATTAGACCTTAGTTGATTCAGTTGTTTGTTTTTTTAGTCTGTTGTTTTATTGTAATGGGTAGTCTTTTGTTTCCATTTTTTCATTACTTCCTATCAAAAAAGGCTGCCGTTATTCAGACCCCCCCTATATTTTCGTCCCAATAAAATTAGAGAACAAATTGACCCACTTAGACATGAGGAGCTCAAAAGGATAGCCAGGAAACAAGACTTCTATTTCACGTTACAAAATCTTTCAAAAGAGCTTGATTTAAAAAAAATACAAAATGACATTATCTGATAGAAATATTATATATGCTTATTTGAAAGAATTCGAAAATTTTCCTATATTATTTATTATTTCCTTTCGAACCCCAGATCATTCATAACCAGAACGTCTGAAAGGTAATTTAAATGAGTGCAACTACTCATATGACTTATCAGCTTATGAGAGGGGGTCATTCATTTATTCGTAACACTTTATAAAGAAAGCCATAAAAGATAGATCTAGATTGGTATTTTCATAATTGATTAACATCATTAACACACCCCCACGGTAGTTCTCAGCAAAATCAACAATATCACTATAGTATTGAAGTAATTCAGTATACCAAATAGTGAGTATTATATAACAAAGCCTTTTAGCTTTTTTGCATAAATATCATTGTGTTCTGGAAGTTCACAGGATAGTACTTAACTACTGCAATAAATTATTTTTTGTTGGAAAACTAATTAAATAAGAGTCAATCTCTGTTGTTTTTTTTCCTTGGTAGATCTCATACAATGTCTAGTATTTGCTCCTACATATCTCACAGGGTTCCCACTCTATGGGGAAAAGGCCAGGAATTTTGTTTTCAGATTTCGCTGTCGCAGAAACACCATGAAAATGACTGAAAAAGAAAATATGCGGGAGAAAGCCAGGAAATCAGAGGGCTATCCATCATTATGAATAAATGGTGGAATTATTTTTATTGGGGGGGGGTTACAGCAGCAAGAAATTCCGGTTTAGGGCCAAATTACACAAAATGAGATAGTTACTCTTTAAAATTCCTGGACATGTCCTGAACAATATCTAGAAAGGTACACAAGCCTCCCTGACCCTAAAGTGGTGTTAGGGGGGATTTTAGAGTGTAGGGTCGAGTCTGTTTAAGATAACATTTGTCAAGTTTGTAAAAAGAAAAGAAAAAGAAAGCACACCATTTTTTCACGGTTGGTACTATTTTTCTACTCGATTTCAATGAAACTTTCACAGGATGTTAAAACCATACAAATCTAGCTTTTTATAAGAGGAATTATTAATAAATGTATTGGTTCTTAATTTGTGAGCTTGAAAAGCTGGGTTTTTCCAGTTTTTCTACTATTTCTTTACAGCCGGAATTGAAACTGCCATAAAATAAAAACTAAATCAGATATCAAAAATTCCTCTCACAGACAGTGTGATCTTTGTCTTTTAAGTGTGCATGCTAAATACGAACCTAATCTGTTTGTAAATGAGGTGAGAAAATGGTACCACATTATGTCTCTAAAATCCCATATTGCCGCCATTTCCATGGCAATATTAGGAGTGGTATTGGCTGAGATATACTTATTTTGTAGCAACCCCCCTTAAGGTTTTAAAACTTTTTGGTGTCAATTTTTCAAAAATACAATCTTAATACCCCACCCCTGATTCAGATATTTAAAAAAAAAGTATTTGCCTTTCAGCTAGCCTTCCGAACCCATCCCCACTTTCCCAGTGTATAAGTAAGGAAAAGTCAGATCCTGACAGTCTACCCCACTATGTCACATGCAGCTGTCTAACTCTGTGCACAGAGTTCATGTTATTGCTCTATGCCACTGTGCCCCTAGAAACATTAGCTGGGAGTAAGGCCAACATTAGTTGGACATGGTGTTAAAAAAATCCTGCAACTTTATGTTAGGGGTGATGGTTTAGGCCAATGTGATCATTTTCTTTTTAATTAACATAAAACGAAAACAGATCTAGTTTGAAACTGGAGACAATTAGTTGCAATGTAGTGTAGTGCTGTACAATCAGGATCAAGGGCTTGTGACGAGTCCCCTGTTTCTTTTGTTTTTTGCAAGTGTCAAACCAGCAGCCAATAAGTTGCCCCCCCCCCCCCCCCTCACATGCGCCTCTTTTTTTTCTTCTTAATTCGACAATGAAATGAGTCTGTAGAGATCTCTTTCATCCCACCTTGGTTTATGTTACAGTTACCCTACAATCCCTGTCCTTGACACCACTGGAAAGACAACTGTACATAGCCATGTTATGATTTTTTAATCTTATATTTCTCCTCTTTTCTTTGTCCTAGCTCTGTCATCTTTTTAAAAAAATCACTTTGAAAATGGTTACAAAATCCTGGATTCAAGTGGGATATAAGGCCGGGAAATTTTTTTTCTAAAATGGAGTAGTTCCATTCGCCAGAGGTCTTTCTTGTCGATTCATTTTGTTTTTCTCTGATTGTTCCAGCAAGTTTGCTGATTTTCTTTCTTACATAAATTAATGAAAGAATAAACCTGCAATTGCTTCGTCTAAAGTATGAGCAAAGTGTTCGTTTCTTTTTCTCCCCATGTAGGTAAGAACTTATACTAATAAAGATGGCATCAGATTCTGAAGAGATTGAATATCAGTCCCTAGACCAGAGGCAAAATATACCTCTGCTTGACCGAGAGCATTCCCAGCACGATGAAGAAGAGGGCAGTGAGATCAACTTTCACGAAGAGCAGGGATTTATGGTTCACATGAGTCCAGATACCAATAAATGTGAGTTTTGCTCGAATTCCTTTTTGTGCGCCTTGTTAATTTTTCATTCATAATGTCTTATAGAGTTCAGACAAGTGACTATGTTTTCAGTTCAGTGAACAGCATTTTTGTTATGTAATCAGTTATAATTTTAGTTGAAGCTGTGTCATTACGAGATTGAACAGAAAATAATGAAAGTTGCTATTTTACGGCTAAGACATGGACTTCAATAATATAAGCAATATGCATTATAAGTATAAGTCGTCTATAAAAATGTTTGCTCTCATGCCAAGCATAGGATTTTTATGTGACTTGGTTGTAGATTATTTTATGACGTCACAAAGGGTGGTTGGAGCTCTGGAGGAAACAAGACGAGAGAAATCCTCCATTTTACATCTTTTTGAACTGTAAACTTGGTGAATCATCAAAAATAATCCATGAAAATGTGCAGAGTTTGTGGAGAATCTGCTTGTTCACATAGTACAGTTTGTTGTTGGGTAAGAGAATTTAGTTAAGAGAGAGACACTGTTTGGAGTGTTGACTCCGTTTTTGTGAACACGAATTCATGGGAATCATGTTATGTTTCACTCTATTTCATCGCTAAAGGTGCCATGTCTCCTTTGTGCAAGAGAAGAATAAAGGCAATGAGTAAATTTTGTTTTTTTGCCTATCCTATTCCAGCTCAATGGAATCATGTGGATGACCTGGATAAATTCTTTGTGAATGTCTATGACTACCACCAGCGCCATGGTTTTCAAAATATGGTCCTGTCAGAAAGCCTGCAGTTGCTGTAAGTGTTTAATAATTCATTGGTAGTTTTCAATCTTAAGGTGAAAGTGTGTTTGATAACTCTGCAGAAGTTTGAAAGAGGCAGAAATCTGGCTACATTTTTTTTAGTTTCTTCATGTGGAAGTAGATGGATAAATTGATGCCTTTTTAGAGGGTACAAGGACTCCCCCCCCCCCCCCCCATGCCCCAATAAGAGGGTAAATATGTATATATATATATATATATATATATATATATATATATATATATATAATATTAAAAAAACAATTTTTGGGATAAGTTTTGCTAAGTTTGCAATGGAATAGGAACAGGATAAATTCATTTTGCATCATGTAAGTTTGCAAGTAATATCATCTTGTCACCAACTGAAATTGTCATTTTTTTAAACAAATTCAGAATATTTTTGTGTATCAGATACTTGATAGTGTCATGGCCAGCCTAGGAAATATATAAAGACTTTAACATCCCCACTATGGTTTTTATCCTTTCTTCAGAAAACACCTTTAGGGAGTCATGTTCAGTGATGTGTTCTGTAAATAGCTGGAGTAGCTGTCAGTACTGTTAATGGTCAACTGAATGTTATGCTTTGAAAAAATTGTTTCTGGAGGTGGTTCTTGTCCTTGCTTTCCAAGCAGAAATATAACAATTATGCCCCTGATTTGGCGATTTGCTTGTTGTATTCTCAAACATCATCTTACAGCTAAAAGAAGTGTAGGGTACTTGAAGTACAAAGAGTATTGGCAGTTGTTTGTAATGGTACCAAAACATGTTTGTGTGGACCAACTTTGCTGGAGAAAATACAACAGCGAACATTGTAAGGTAAATTTTTTTATATGTCACTTCATGTTATCTTTTTTCCACTTCCACAGACAATTTGTATTTATTGTGACTTTCATGACATATCTGGGCTGGTGTGTTAATTACCCAGAGCTGTTTGATGAAATCCCACACAACACCACTCGCAAGAAGACTTTCGACGATATCACGTATCCATTCGGCACCTGCGTTTCCAGGTTGGTCTCTTTTTAAAAATTTTTGGAAACATACTTCTCCGTGTTTATTCTCGCCATCAACCACGTCACTGCCGGCCAGCCTGTCAGCCTCCTCATTACCCTTCACTCCAGAGTGCCCAGGTCAGAATATCCATGTGATGGCTCTAAGTGATGAGTGTTGTATTGGGTTCATCCGTTCCCTCCAAAGCAGCCTTTTCGCAGGATGCTCTGGGAGTCTGTGACAATAATGAGATGGGTAGTTCTTGGTCTTGTATTTTGAAGCCAGCCAAGCGCTCTTGTTACGGCCTCAATCTCCATTTTCTTGGTGGAAGTTGTTCTTTCTATGGCCCCTGACATGCTATGAACCTGTTTGTTCCCACTGCACACCGCAAAACCCCATCCACTTCTCTCACCCCTCCTGACTGATCCATCCCTGTAGATCACTAGGTCCTCTGGCTTAGAGTGCTCCTCAATTAACTGTCGTATGTTCGTGACTCAGTGGAGTAGAGCAATCCCTCGCCTTCACTCATCACCACCATTATTTCCAAAATTATCACCGCTCTCAGATCAATGACTTACATCTGAAATCCTGGAATCTCTCTCTGCTGTAACTGTTACTTGTTATACTAAGTATGCACGTAATACACTATTGGACACCATCATACACACTTTTAAAAAAATAATCAGATGGCGTCAATCTCATATAAATAGGCAAGGGATAAAAAAAAAATTGTCGTACGTCATTGTCGTTAATGACAGCAGCACATTCCCGTCTTTCACGACCCATAGTGATGTGAACGTTGGCCAGGCTTCTGCAATCGGGGCCCGGTTCAAGCCATTCCTTTCCACTGCATATTTCATCGATGCCACAAACTTTCCTGAAGGAGTCTTCAGCTTCTGCCATCCATGAGCTGCCCTGTTTGATCCTATTTCCTTTGATGTTGCTTAGGTTGTCGTGCAAAGGGTGCCTCGGGTCTCCCAAAACATTCAAGTACAGCTTTTCCTGTGCCACCTTATGACTCACTCTGATGCTGGCCAGGTCTTTGTTTAGTTTTTAAGCTGTGTCAAAATGATTTCCTTTCTTCCTTTATGCATTATTTGGTGTGCTTCGTACCCAATAACTTTAAAGAAATGTTGGTAAACTGTTCTTACCTTACTTCTTTCTCAAATATTACTCGATCTGAATGATTACTGAAAAGAATGATATACATCTATGAGACCATACCATTTGTTCTCAATTATAACGTCAAAAAAGATTATACAAGGATGGATCAACCATAGAGTTTACAGTATCATGAACTTAAGTGAGACAGATCAACAAGATTGTTCGAGTGGAGAATAAATTAAGATAATGAGGCCTCATTTAATGCTTAAATCAGGGGGTTTTTTGTGGGTGGTTGGTGGGTGCTCTGGCGTGGTCTACTCCTTCTTTCCTATCAAGCATTCTATCGTCCTTATCTCTCCTCTTTCAATTTTGTATTTGTTACTCTCTTGTAACACTCTAATCTTCAGCACTTATATGTCCTAATAGTGTTGCAACTTCCGTAAAACTTTCATTAAGACAAACAATTTTTTTCTGTTTCGACATACTATTTTTTGTTTGTTTATATTTATATCTGAAATCAGCTTATTTCTATTCTTAATTTCTTTTTGTTCATTATTTGTCATGTCATCATTGTTGATATTTATATTTCAGGTTTGACTTTTGGACCTGGCTTCTTCTAGTTCTCTGCTGTTTGTTCTTCATTGGGCGCACTATTAAAATGGTGGTGAACTTTAGTAATTACTTGAGGACAAGGAATTTCTTCATCAGTGCTCTCAATATTGAAACAGTAAGTTGCTCAACTTTAACTGCATGTGTGTATCTTTCAGTTCATTGATCAGAGAAGATAGAATCAATCTCTCTCTCTCTCTCTCTCTCTCTCTCTCTCTCTCTCTCTCTCTCTCTCTCTCTCTCTCTCTCTCTCTCTCTCCCTCCCTCCCTCCCTCCCTCCCTCCCCTTCCCCAATTATAAATTGTCTAGTCTTGGTTCATATACCCTACGTAGACTTCTGTCCCAGGCTCAATGACTGCGAGAAAACTTTTAATAAGAACTTTTCCAATTTTTTTAACGGGTCCGCAACCAAATTTGAAATAAATTATGTTTGATCATCCAGACGCCATATTTTATGCTCAAATTTGAATTGATGGTGCGTTAACCATGTTTTGGAGTAACCTAGAAAAGGCTCTCTATGTTAGAAAATACGCTGAATTCAAGTCCAAAAAGCGACAATGTCAAAGAGGTCTGTTCGGGGATGTAGCAGTAAAGAAGGCTTTTCAAAGACCCCAATTTACAGAATTTTAAACCATGACTTGAAAATGAAGGTACATTACATTTTTGTCCACCTAAGAATAACAACAGCAGACAATGCTTTGGAGAGAAAAACAATGAATTGTGGGTTTTGAAGACAAGTGAGACAGAGGGAGAATTTTCTACACTTTGTTCACTTTTGCGACGAGGCTCATTTCTACGGGACTAGAAAAGTTACTTCTGTGAATTGTGTGTACTGGAAAACAGAAAGACAAGATGATATGAATGAGAGGAACTGAAAAAGTGAGACAAAGATCTTGTAAGAGCTACCACGCCGTAGCACTGTCAGAATACTGCATATTTTTAGTCCGAACACAGAAATGCATTGCCTCTGATTGGGGCCATGTGAAGCATCTTTTGTAAAGCTAACAGTTGTAATGCAGATTCCTTTTTTGTGTTAAGAATTGTGTAACTGTCTCTCTGGATGGTGCCTTTATGTTTCTACCAAAGGACTTTGCTGTATTCAAAGTGTATTTTTTTTCTTTTAAAAAAAAAATTTATGTTCCACCTTTTTTTTTGGTGGTCATCGAGTTTGGGACATCCTGTATATTCTTAAAACAAAATTTCTTAACACCTTTCCGCATGAGCTTACAGCTGTGCACACTGAGTCATTAAACATACTCTTCTTTCATGACTGTAAGCAAGAATGTAGCCAAAGGTTTCTTTTTTTAATGAATGTCTATATTTGAGGGCCTCTGCTCTGAATGAATTTCAGAGTAATCACCTGTTCATGGGTCTGTTATTTTCATTCGTCAATATTGAATATTTACATTTTAGCTAGCCCATGTCTATAATTAGCATAAAGATAAACTCAGCATGGTGTGTGACAGTTGAGAGCAAGGAGGAATGAAGGTGTATGTCTGCAGGCAATGTTACCTCTTTAAGACTGCCCATTATAATATTGTATTTCTCGTGAATGTACTGTTTGTTGTTTTAGAGAACTGTCTGTTGAGGAAAAAATCAGGTCTTGCAGAAGTGGGGCCCTGCCACCTCCATATATTGGACCCTGGCGTAACGTTTCTCAAGGACAGATTAAAATTTTCATTCCATTCAGTTGAATACTCTACCTTCCACTTGCCCGTGAAGTTTACAAACAGACCTGCAACAGTTTTTTGCTTTTCCAGATGTTCCTTCATTACAGCTTGGAAATCTTGAAGAGTTGATAATAATAGTCTTAGTTTAGTTTTGTAAGAGTTTTACAGCGCTTGCAACTACATAAGGTCATATGAGCGTGCAAAAAAAAGTTGGTTGCATTCACAACAGTTTACAGCAACCAACGATAGTCTGACCTGTTCTCTTGCCTTTTCCATAACTCTCTATGCATTTTGTGGTAATGAAAAGAAGTTTGTTTTTGTACTCCTTTTTTCTGATGGATGCCTGTGATTAATGAAGGTAAAGTTTATTAATCCTTTGGTCGACCACTTGTTCACCAGTTTCTTAACTCTTATCTCATCAGCTTGGAGGCAGATTTAAGATCTTAAATTTTGCTTCTAGAATATGTTGAAAGAAGATTTGAGACGCTGTATAATGTTTGTACCTTTCCCTTTCCCTTCTCCACCCATATCCCTCTCGTCCTATTTTTGCTCACTTTAGCGAGAGCTGAGTAACATGACATGGCATGAGGTCCAGTCGCGTTTACTGGAAGTTCAAAAGGAGGAGCAGATTTGTATACACAAACAGGAGCTCACCCACTTAGGTAAGGAAATTTGGTAAACTTGTAACGGTCTGAGTATACCTATGAGTATACCTAACTCCATGGGTATAAATTCAGGTATTTATGTGCTATGATGCAGAATTTGCCTACTGGTGAGTGAAGTTGCAATCTACGGTAATAAAGTCTACAACTTAAAAGCTTTTTTAAAAAAAACTATGCGTTCTTTTTATAAGTTTAGCACTGGCCATAGAGGATTTTGGAAGTATTTTGTTTTAATCCAAGTAGTAATTGGAACTGAAATTTGATAAGAAATGTTATACTTGAATGATAAGTTATGAGCTCATTATCTCATCACTTCAGTATTTATACATCGTCCTTTTTATGGGTTTTTAAAATGTATGCAGGGGTATTGGAGTGCTATTTTAAAAAATATAAATGCTATTAGCACATTATTTACAATTATCTAATTTTACCGTTTTGTGTCCTTTTCAGATATTTACCATAGAATTCTGCGTTTCAAGAACTATCTGGTTGCCATGGTGAACAAAAATTTGCTCCCTCTCAAGATGCGTATGCCTCTTGTTGGAGAACAGTACGTACTCTTGTCTTGTTCTTTTACAATTAACTTTCACTTCTCTTTTTTTATTTTTTACTTTTCAGATTTCTTAGAATTGTTTCGCTGACTTCCAATAGGTAGTTTAGCATTTCGCGGACTTCCAATAGGTAGTTTAAGTGCATATTTTCATCTTTCTTATTCATGTATTATTGTTAATATGTGTGATTTATACTTCAACCACAATTATCCTTGTGTTGATGTTCTTCTCTTCATCTCAAACCTAAGTTTTAGTTTGAGTTTTGCAAGGCATGCAACACAAAAAGAGGTCATATAGGTGCCAAAGATAAAAGTTGTTGCTAGGGAGTAACGTACAAAAAAGGAGTAGAGATAGTTTGATAGATTTCTGAACGGAAGGTTGGAGCAAACCACACCAGAGTGCCTGCCAACCACCCACCAAACCTAAGTAAAAAAACGAATGTTATCCATGTATGACTGTTTGATTCAATTTATCTACAAAGTGGTCTTGTGGTAGATGATTTAGTTTAACTTTAGGGTGAGTTCTGACTGAATTTTTTTGGCGAGGAAGTTCATGACTTGAGGAAGTGCACAGCCTCTACATCTTTTGCTTGTGTTTATATTAGAACAGTCCTGGCCTTTAGATTGTATATTTTTGCAATGCTTAAGGGTGTACTCAGATTCATGGAAACATTTCACCCTGTTACCATTTATGTTGCGTAAAAGCTCTAAGTTTGAGATTCATGATTTGCATAAAAGTTGACCTTTGACCTGCTGATTAAAGTTTTTAGGGTTCATTGAGCATCACCATCTTTCTGTTGAGATGGAATATCCTTTAGAGCTCGGCTGTACGCTGATAGGCAGGGTCAATGCAGCCTGACTCCTAATTTTCTTCATTGTGTCAATAGCGAAGTAACACGCTGACATTTGTTTATATGGACTTAAAAAGGGAAGATCGGTGACTTTTAGACTTCCCTGCTGTCGTTTCCGTTCCAGATGATTGGTAGGCTTTTTGTTAAGGTTTATTTCTTCTTCTTTACCAAAACTACTCTGTCATACGCTGACAAAACTCCCCCTCCGCATTTTTTTACAGGGCCAGATTTTAATATGAGCATATATGATTTATCTTTCAGTGCTCTACTTACACACGGAATGAGATTCAACCTGGACTGCCTCTTGTACTGTAAGTTGTTAACTGAGACTGGAGCATGCTTGCCTGTTGTGGGAGAGTTGTGAAGGAGGGAATACTTCTTTGTTCTTTCATAAAAGTCTGTTGATCGGGAATTTGCTAAAAGTTTTACCTTTTTTTCTGACTTTTGAAGGAAAGAGTGATGTAAGCCTACTATTTTTAGAAATGAGTGCATACACCTGGGGGGAGGGGGGCTTACTTGTGGTGTCGGTGGCCTGGTGGTTAGGCTTTCGGACTCGCAACCGTAAGGTCGCGGGTTCGAATCCTGTTAGGGGCCCGACGTTGTGTCCTTGGGAAAGGCACTTTACACGAATTTTCCTCACTTCACCCAGGTGGGAATGGGTACCCGGCTATAGACAGTGAAAGATCTTGTCAGTTTGTTAGTGTTTGAGCGCTTAATCGGCTGCTTGCACTGTATGCTTCCCGGGAAGCTGAGAATGTTTTTGGAGTGTTCTATGGTCTGCTGGGGTAATAATATTGTGTAAAGCGCATAGAGCCTGCTGTTGAGCGGGGATATGCGCTATACAAATGCTATTTATTATTATTATTATTATTATTTTGTCCAAATTCCTACAAAGAGTACCATGAAATTAATACTACAAAGTGCTCACAGATATAACTCTTTTAGTTGATTCAGTTATGGCTTCAGTACTTCGAATAATGGATGTTCTCCTTACATACCACAGGGAGTCCATGGTCCATCTTCCTCAACAGTTACACGATGAGAGAAGAATACAGGAGTCATCACAAGAGAAAACAGCTTGCTGAACAGTAAGACCTTGACAAGTTACATTCTTCTTTTTTCAGCATAGGAAGTTCCCCATTTTTTTTTTTCTTCTCAACCATTAAATTGTATTTCTTTCCCTTTACCTAAGTTCTTGTATTGCCTTTGCATAATGTTTTACTGTATTATCCTTTTCAGTTATCCAAAAAGGTCATTTCCTTGTTCAAATATTTCAGAGTTTTCTCACTCAAGAGTATGTTTTTTTATGCGACATTTTAAGGTCATTTCAAAAGTAAGTGATTGTGCTTTGTGTTTTCACATATGTACAGGTGGATCCTCATAAAATGATAAATGTTTTATCTTGTTCTCAGACTTTCGACTCACATTGCCGTGTTGGCAGTGCTGAATCTGGTGCTGTGTCCCTTCATCTTCCTTTACCAGATCATCTACTTTTTCTTTCGCTATACTGAGGTGAGTGAGAGTAACAGAACAAAAACAATACCCTTGTGCTCACAGTTATACATGGAAAATGGGTCAAATTGTTGTACTTGGACACTTTTTTGTGCCCGGCATCGACTATTTAGGAGGTGGGCTGCTTCGGCCCTGCCTGACACGGCCAATGTAGTACACAACTTTATAGATGGGGATAGTTGTGACTAAGAGCCTCACCAGTACACCACAGATGCTGGTTAGGCCACATGCTTAAAAGCTGTGTGACTAGATTGAAAAAGTTGTAATTGACTTCCACTAAGAAAGATGGGAGGGGGGGGGGGGGGGGGGGGGAGGGGGGAATTTGCAAAGAGTTACAAAGAATAGCAGACAAGACTGTGGTTCTGCTGATTAAAGAATCAGTTTTCTCCTTGACAGCTTATCATGGCTGACAAGGAATGATATGTTTGGATGGGTTTGTGCTTTCAGCTTTGAAGTTCAAGTGAGAGGCTTGTGTAAAATCTTGTGCTGTCAAAGAGAAGGCAAAACAGGCACCATCATCTCTGCATTGGCTGGCCAACTCTTGCCACTTTGCCATCATCCCACAAGGGAGGTACAGCACCGCTATATTCACTTGATTTTGTTCCTGTCAGTTGTTAAGTAACCATGTACAACTGAGTGATTCAGGGGGGGGGGGGTTGTTTTTTGTTTTTTTTGGTAAGTGTTTTATGGCGCTCGCAACTGCATAAGGCCATATGAATGCATGGTACACAATAAGCATTTTCGGTTTGGAAGGAATTCATTTTTAATTTTGTCCAGGTGGCTGTCGAAGCCTACTCTTATTGATTTTGGAACCACCAAGGGATCTTTAACATATACAACTTAGACACATAATCTCCAAGATTTTTGGCTCTTATCTGAGAGGGCTAGGTGTTAAATCTTACCTACCCTAAGATCAGAGGTTTGGTTGAAAGACAGCAGCAAGAAGGAGCCAAGGAGTAGCAGTAGAGGGGCTGCAGAAAGAGTCAGGAGCCCAGAGGAGGGGGCAAAGGAAAGGAGGAAGAGGGCAGAAAGTGGAGACGAGAACAGATGACAGAACATGGTTAGAGAGTAAGAAAGGAGGTGAATGGAGAACATTTTCAGTCGCTGTCAGATTTAAAACCCAGGACCTATTGAATGAGAGGCGAACACGTACCTCCAGACCATGAGAACCCCCTTCAAGGAGAATAGGGCAAAGTGCCTTAGGTGATCCTAACTAGTTGGGTTAGGAATGGAACCCAGGATCTTTTGATTGTGAATGCCACACTTTTAGCTCTAGATGTGGACGTCTTGTTCAGAAAGTTTTCCAGCTCCATTCTCTCTCAAATGTTGCTCACAGAATAATTTCAAATTTATCAGTATTCTTATTTTGATGCCATATGTCTGATAGCCATTTATTAATTTTTTTTAAACATTTGTTTGTTATTTTCTTTTTATGAATTTTTTTTTTTAAACTGTATTTGTCTTGTTTTCTTTTGCCCAGTTTGTGAAGAGGTCACCAAGCTTTCTTGGATCCCGACAGTGGTATGTGCCTTAATGACTGTTAGGTCTTTAGAGAAATTTAAGTGGGTACCCATTGAGTCAGAAGCTCTTTCTGGAGATAAGGATCAACTGTACGGTTGTACATGGTGTTTGTTCAAAATTATAGTAAAACTCAGCTGTGACTTTCACAGCTCCCAGAGCTTGAGCATATCTTTCATTGTGGGAAACAGAATAATAGTCCTAAACAGGATGCTTACCAATTACTGGTTTTGTTTATTCTGTTACAAAAATATATGGAGATGGATTTAAGACTAGAAGGTCTGGCTTCATGAATGATGTTTCTGTATTTTAAACAACATTAAATGGGGCCTGTACCATACGATATTGATGTAACATGTTTCTGAAGTTTCAATAAAAATAATAATACTGACTTTGAAATTTCATTTTTTCTGTCATATTGATGCTGAAATATTGTTTTTATTGTAAAGATTAGAGCTGTTGATCTTTAATTCCAAGTAAATAACAAGCCAACATGTTATTGTAATTATTTGCTTCAATAGTACTTGTATCTATTCCATTGTGATAATGCTGACGGATTATAGCTTTCTAATGTAGACGTTGACGAAAGATTGAAGATCAAGCTACTATTTTGATTTCTCATTTTTATTTTTTACTTAATCCATATGAGGATCTAAAATTTTGACTTTTTCTTTTTTCATCAATCATTTCAGGGCCAACTATGGTCGCTTATACCTTCGGCACTTCAATGAGCTTGATCACGAACTGTATGCGAGGTAAATGGTTTTCCCTTTATTGTAGTGCTTGAGTTTTGCTCCACATGAAAAGAGTGCTTTTAAAAAAATGATCACTTCTGTTTTATTTCTCAAATACATGTCACTGATTGAGTAAAAGATTAGCCCTTTGGTTCTGTCCTGACACTAATGTGTGTCACAACACAGTGAAATCAAGTGTTCATCAATTTTTGGGGCATGTGGAGTTATTGGTACTACCTTAAAGCTTGTTGATTTGTTTTGCTTTTGACGAAAAAAAAAACCCCGTTTATCTTGAATAGAAGTCGAGACATCTGCGATTGAAGGAGGTGGGGGGGTTGCCTGGTGTCAAAAATTTAATTTACGAAAATATGGCTGCCAAAATGTTGTGACTTCCGAGCTTGAGTGTCCTTGGAAACTTGCAAATTTCATTTTTTTTGCCATCGATCAACTTTTGTCCATAAAATCCCCACAGAAATGTGTTTTTAAGTGGACATAACAGGTGTTGAGCAAAAGAAAAAAAGAAAGAAATTGGGCCGAAAAATGTTGGGTTTTTTAAATTTTATTATTTTGACGAGTGCCCCATTTCACCACGATGCCAAACACATGAATCTAGGAAAGAGTGAGACAGCCAAAGATCAAAATGTTGGATTGATAAGAAGGAAAAATACACGTCTCCAATCACTGATGCTCTCCAACCACTTAATGACAGCTGCACACTGTGTTGAAGCTGCATCGCCTTTTGAGATAATGCTGAAGGGGAAGATAAGATAAGCCTTTTACACTCTTCCTTTTATGAGAAATTTTTTTAACATTTTTACAGTGCTTAGTATAGGTACATATAGTTGTACCAAAATACTCTCTCTGTCTCTCTCTCTCTCTCTCTCTCTCTCTCTCTCTCTCTCTCTCTCTCTCTCTCTCTCTCTCTCCCTTACCCCACTCTCTTTCTCTCTCTCTCTCTCTCTCTCTCTCCCTCCCTCACTCTTTCTTTCTCTATCTCTCTCTCTTTCTCTCGCTCTTTTTCTCTCTCTTTCTATCTCTCTCTCTTCTCTCTCTCACTTTCTCTCTCTCTCTCTGTCTGTCTGTCTGTATGTCTCTATCTCTGCCTCTCCCCTCCCCCTCTAGATGTTGCACGATATCAGTGTTATTTAGTTATATCTAAGTAACTAGAAGAAATAGCCATAAATAGGTCAAGCTTCTGTTTTTTATTTTTTTAAACTGTTGTCAATTGCTCAATGAAAATCTTACCTCAGGACAACGATGAGAGTCCGTTATAACTTGTTTGATGGTGAATCAAACTTTCTGGTAGTCAGTTATGAGTTGTTCTTTAAGATGTATGATTCTTAAGTATTTGCCAAGTTGTGAAAATACACTCTAAGCTACCTAGTCTTTTTTTTTTAAGTCTATGTAGGATGGTTTTGCAACTCTGTAATGATTTTACTTCATTTTTTTCCAGGTTGAACCGAGCATACATACCATCGAAGATGTACATGAACAGTTTCACTTCAGCATCTGTGACTCTTGTAGCGAAGTAGGTTTAGCTTTTTATTTTAACTCCTAAGCATTTTCTTACAAGTAGAATCAATAGCTCTATTTTGTTCATGTGGAAATCACAGAAGTTAAAGGCTTCACTTCTATGGATTAAACCTAGTAAATTGAAGTTACTGTATTTATAATTGACAAAATATTGACTTATCTATAGATAGTTTTTTTCCCATGTAGATTTTTTTTTAAATTTGCAAATCCAATGCATTCTTCCTTTTGAGCTATTTTACTGTACAAATAAACCAACCTCATCTCTTTTTTTTTCATTCTAGTGCATATTGTCCCCTCGTGATGAAATGAATTAAAATCCTAATGTAGGAACTTCTATTGGCCTCTAGGTATGTCGCTTTCTTTGCTGGAGCCCCAGCCGCAGTGCTCTTCATTTTGGGCGTCCTGGACTTCAATGATGTCACCAAGGTGGAGCATCTGTTCACGGTGGCTTCTGTCTGTGGTAAGGGATATACTCTGTACGAGTCATGCTTGAGGGTTATACGCAACCACTAGCTTTTACTATTGTATGTTTCCCTTGAACTTGTTGACTTGAAGGGTTGCCGTTACTTTTTCCTAATGAAAACACTCTATTTTTTAAGTTGGACCACGAAGTTTCACACCACAAAGTTTTGTTGTTTTTTTCCACTAGGGCATGATCCCTGAAGTGGGAGGGATTGGTATATTAAAGTATGACCAAATTTCATTTTTCTTGTGTGTTGATTATATGATACATAAGATCAACTTAAGAGCAGAAGTAACAAGTTCATTTTCCCCTGAGTTTACATTAAGAAAATGAAATTGGCATTTTCCTCAAAGCTAGAATGTTTTTATTGCATTTGTAAAGGGCTATTGTTTTCCTGTGAGATTAATTGCCTTATTTGTGTCTCTTTCAGGTATGCTGGCTACAATTTGCTCGTCTCTCATCCCTGATGAGGTGGGTAGATTCCTACTGTTTTTATAGTGAATGTCTGGATTTTTGGGTCTTTTTTATGTTGAGGTGCTCCATATTACTCCCTAGAGTTCATTTTTTGTAGTCAAGTCTGTCTGTCTGTCTGTAGGAGGTCACTGACTTTATATATATATGAGCAGCCCCTGCTCTTCCCTGTCCTGTTAACCCTTTGAGCCCTGGACCTGTGACGCGTAACATTTCTTGTTTGCCTAGCCACTAGTACACTGGTGAGGGAGACACTATCCCCAACCCGGCTCATCTGAGACAAAACCCACGGGGAAAACGGTTTTGCTTCAAAGGGCGTTATTGATTATTTTGAAGATCTTTCTAAATTAGATTCTGGTATTGATGAGGACTACCCTGAGTGGGGTATGGAATGTGATTCTGACAACGATTTTAATGTGAGAGTAATAATAGCGTGAATCGCTCAGGAGCTCAGGCAGAGGGGCACAGTAGCTTCGGAAGGTCAAGGCTCAAAGGGTTAAAGAAATTCCAATTCTAACAAAAACTGCAACAAACAAACGCACAAGTTGACCAGTGTGTTGATGTCTTTGTCCCCAGAATGAGGTCTACTGTCCAGAGAGACTGATGATGAGCATCCTGGCTCAGATCCACTACATGCCGGACCACTGGAAGGGGAAGGCTCACACCTCGACAGTCAGGGACGAGTTCTCCATGCTCTTTCAGTACAAACTGGTAACATTTCTCTTGTTCTCTTGTTTAATTGTTAAGGCAATAAGAATTTAAACAAAACTGAAAGGGACTTTTAAGAAGGAATTAAGATGGTGAGCTTCAAGAACATTACATCAGACATTTTTCGGGGTATGGCCGTTTGTCAAAAACACATACCCTTGGATTACAAACAGTATGTAGTAATATCCTTGAAATGCCTCAGCCCATTCAATTTGATTGTTGGCATGTAACTCTTTCTCACTTCTTTTAATTCTCTACGCTGTTCAGTCCAAACTGGTGCTGTAAAAGATTTTCTATCATTACAGTGACAAATGTCTGCTCATGGAGCAAGGGGAAAAAAAGCAAGCAATAAATTTATTCCTATCCCTCTAGGAAGGCTTTTCATAATGGTGCATTGCATTCTAATAATGTCTTTATTTTTGGACATAGATGTACATCCTGGAAGAACTGTTCAGCCCCCTGATCACTCCATTCTGGCTTTTCTTCGGACTCCGACCAAAAGCAATGCAGATTGTGGATTTCTTCCGATGTTTCACGGTCGACGTCGCCGGTGTTGGTGATGTGTGTTCGTTTGCTCAGATGGACATCAAGAAACATGGAAATCCTCAGGTAGGACAACTTTTGTACCTGATGGACAGACTGCCAAGGGGACTTTCATGAGCATGAGCTTTTGTCATGTAGCTGAAATTAATAGCAAAAACATTGAGTGACTTATGGTTACATCAGCACATAGGCTCTTTTCTTCTGGGGTTTTATTCAAGATATAGGTTGTTTCATATACTTTCATATATATATATGCAAAAGTTCGTTGCCATTTTTGTATGTTGCTCTATGTTTTCAAAAAGGTGACACTCCTTTTTCATAATGCAAATCCTAGAAGGATCCCCTAACAATATGCTGCTTAAATCATTCATTTGTCAAAAGCATTTTGTTACATTTGTAAATCCTCAGTAAGCTAGGGCAAAGTCGGCCAATAAGAACATCGGCTCGACGTTCTCGTCAAACTCTAAAAGTCTACTGTGACTTTGACCTTGAATTTAGAGTGAAGTTACGACTTCCTATGCTGTTATTGTTATAGCCAAGACAGGGTCATAGGTTTTGGGCTTACTAGTTCTATTTTTAGCTCTTCGACTTCCGGTTTCGGATAACAAACGTTGTGGGGTTACTGTTACCCTTTAAAAGTTTGTTTCCGCGCTAAATTTATTTAATCTTACTCGTTTTAAAAATCAGAATTGAGCTTAAAAATAATTTATATAACCTACATATTTATGTGTAATCAACTGTTTTAATCTCATAATTATTTACATCTGTTTTTGCAAAACCAAATCTGATCTCTTGGAACTTGAACGAAGACTTTAATATTACAGTGCAGCTAACAAAATAACAGAAGACAGCCAAGACAGCAATCATTAGTTTTACTGGTACTGTAATTGATCCAGTGACGGTGACTGTGACTGGCACGCCAGCACTGCTCGGCGAGCAGGCCAGCCAGCCTCGCACAGACACACACACACACACACACACACACACACACACACACACACACACACACACTCTCACACATTCACACTCACACACACTAGGGCCTAGGTCTTGATCAAAACGTTTTTTGTCTCCACTCAAACTTCGCGGCCCCCACCACCAACGTTGACGACTCCCCGTTGAAGGGCAGGGGTCAGGGGAGGCTGTTCTTGATCAAGGGTAGGCTAGGTAACCGAGAGTGGAGAGTCACCTGCGACTAGTAGATGAGGGTCACATCGTCGACCTTGGGCTCACAGTCGACTAGTAAAGTCGATTTTGCCCTGGCCTAGTACTCAGCTAAAAGCATGGGCTTCCTTAAAAACTGGGAAACCAAAAAGTAGTGCGGATCCTTGTGTTTAATACTTTGCAAATAAAAAGAAATTGGCTATAGCAACTAAAATTCCTCATCTCATTTGTAAGGAAATGTTTAAGCTGCATGATGATATATGCCAATAGCAATAAAAAATAGTGAAAAATGCTAGAATATTGGGACAACTTCAGAGCAGAGGGAGTAGACAATCTCTGGGCTGGCAGACAAATATGTGTTGTATGTGCCTACAAGCTGTAGTGTTTTTTTGTTGAAGCATCTCCTCTATCTGTTCTTTTTAGGTAGGCTTTTCAAACCCATAGCTACATTTTATGACTTCACACATGTGACTTGGCTTAGAGTCTTTTCTGCAATGCTTCTTTTTTTTTTCCCCAGTTTAACATGCTTGTCCTATTGACCAAGTTTTACTATGTTTGTTATAGTTTCTGCAGAATTATCATATAAAACGGTTGTGTGAATCTGGCATTCAAATTTGTGGTTCCTTCCCTTTTTCATTCTCCCTGGCCTCTGTTGTCGTAATGGGGTTCTTTCGACTTGCTGTACCAGATATTATCTCTTTTCCCTTTTCATAAAAGATATGTTCAAAGTCAAATCCAACATCATGTAAAAGTGTTATATTTTTAAAATGTATTATTTTTGTTTTCTTTCTCAGTGGGCCAATGTGAAGCCAAAAGCGGAGGCTCTGTCCAGGTCCCAGCAAGCTGAGAATGGCAAGATAGAGTTGTCTCTCATGCACTTCACGGTAAATATTTTCCTCCCTGAATCAGTTTGCTTCATATTACTTCATATGACTGTTTATGTATTTGTCTTTTTCGTTAAAGAATTTTTTTTTAAATAAAAAATTAAGCAACAGAAGTTTTCTGCCAAAAGATATAAAAATAATTTTTGCTCAATGGTTATCTCACAATATCACATGTACAAAGGTTTTTTACGTAGTTAAGGATCTGGTTTATAGATCAGATCACAACCCAGTTTAATCGGAGTTTGAGACCAACACTGTTCAAGAAATATTGCTTTACTGAAGTGATATTTCAGACACACTGCCGAAGCAGTAAGGATTAACATTTGTCTTTTCATGCCTTTTCATGGATGCTGACATAATACTTGTTAATTGGGACTTTTATTTTACATAGAATTTACTCACTGTGGTGAACAAGTGACATTGTATTTCTTTTAATATTTATTGTCAGGGTTATTCCACAATCACCCAAGTTAATTTCAGGGGATTTCCTGTTTAATCCTTTATTCAAATAAAAAAGAAATCATGGGACATCTTTCAATACAGTTTTGTTTTGTTATTTCCTTCCTAGTTTGTAATTGAAAAATCATAAGTGCAAAGATCAAGATTTTTAATTTTGACACCTTCTTTAATTTTTTTTTTTTAATGAAATGGTTCGCAGGCTCTTTTGGTGATATATGTCCATTAAAAAATCTTTGCAGACCACAAATCCAGAATGGAAACCGCCCCAGGAGAGCAATATGTTTATCACAGAAATCAAACAAGATGGTAAGTGCTGCATCTGGATGTTAATTCTTTTATGTCCCTGGGGAAAAAACGTTGAAATCATTGTAGCTGTTAACTTGATAGTCGTGTCTTCTTAATATTTCGGGGGGGTTTTGTTTTTCTATTTACTATGTTCGTTCTCTGGTGAAAAGATGTGGAATTATTATCTTTTTCAACTTTTTCCCCCCTTGTCTTTGTCATTTATAATGCACTTCAAATAAGTGGCTTTCGCTAATGTCCCCAGGTACTGTTAAGTACTCAGACCGTTCTTGCTAACTTATTGCAACAACTTGAAGAAATACTTTTACTTTCTTTCTGAAACCCTTTATGTTGAAGAATATTATTAGATAAAGTTTGCATTAATTCTTTGATTAGACGAATTTCTAGGCATTATGTGTGGAAAGATGACCCCCCAGCAAAGCTCATCTTGTGAATAGAACCACAAGGCAGTGTGAAGCCTATCATTTGGTAAGATTCTGCATTAATGACAGTTTCATTTCAACTCCCATCTTTTCCAGCTCAACGGGAGTTGCCTATGCTGACCAGTATGGTGGCAGATCCCATCAGTCTGCCCAGCTTGGGATATGTGAACCCAGTGCAGACATTGGCTGGGGTAAGATTGACATCAGTGGTTCCCGAGTCTTCCATAAGTGCAACCCCTTTGTTTAGGTTTTCAAGTCCACATGGATAACCCCTTTTGTACAGTAGCACCAAACTGCAGGCAAAGTTAAATAAGCTTGAAAAGGCTGTGTCTAACAGTATGTCTAACAGTGTATTAGATGCACTTTTATGAGCTTAGTCTTCCTCACTCTCTTAATTGAGCAGGAGGTTGGAGGGTGCCTGAGCTAGGTCTTTTTCTATTTCAGGTTATTAAATGAGAGTGAGCTTTCATCTTACTTAAAGCATTAACAAGATTAATATGCTTTTATATATTGTCATTGTAGTTTTTGTAATTTAAATCTTATTGCTATCTTCTGAAAGGTTTTGCTGTTAAATGAAATAGATGCAATTACTTTTTAAGGAAGTAAGGCCCACATAAAGTTGTTTGAATAGTTTTTATAAATGTAAAAACCCGTGGTTTCCCCTTCAAAGGTTAGCCTTCTGCCAGTCTGCCTCTTTGAAAGGTCGTTCATACTGATACTTTTGCCTGCACTTGTTTCGTTTTCTGACGTAGCTTCCTCATATTCTTCTTGACTACACTCATTTCTAAAGGGAAAAAAATGTTCCACAGCTCGGAGGTAGTCAACATCAGAACTTCAACTACCCAGCAGCTCCTCACAGCCCACTCACCAGCCTCCCACCAAAACTCCGCGGCGGGCTGTCGCAGCTGGATGGGCCAGTGGGCTCAAACTCCGCACTAGCTCAGTCCACTCTGACAACGTCCGGATCCTTCCACACAGCAAACTTTGGCCTGAACGTGGTGGATGAGAGCCAGCGGGAACTTCTGTACGGCAGCATGAGCCTCAGTGTGCTGCACATACACGAAGCTCACCACCGACAGCGCAGGGCGGGTCGTGTGTTCCGCCAGTCCAGCTCAGACGACAACACACCACCTCCCTCTGCGCATCTGCCCGACACAAGTGCTGGGCCGCCTTTTTCTTCTCATCCAGTGAGACCGGTTTTCTCATCAGGGGTCGGACAACACGGCAGGCTACATCAAGCGGGCACCGCGGTTGGAGGTCGTGAACCGTACAACTATTACCCACCACCGTCGGGTTCAGGTACGGACCATGTAACTAGTGGAACTTCGTCAGCATCGTTGTCTAGTGCTGGAGTTCACAGAGACCCCCCATCAGGGGCCTTCCCCCGCCAGCAGCAGCAGTACTCGGAGGTGACGGGGCTGCGTCAAGGACTTCCTTCGTCTTACCAAGGCGGCCCGCCAGTCCTCTACGGTGCAGCAGATCTCTCGGCCGAAGGCCCCGACTTCCCACTTCATCCTCTGGGGAGACACTTATACCTGGACGACTCGGAGCCATCCAGTTTACCCCCTCTGCCTCTCCCTCCCAGCATCTCCTCATCAGCAAGTAGCAATGCCCCTCTGGGCCCTGTGCCGTCAGCTACAGGAAGGGCCACAGCCCCTACCTCGGACCCCATGCCTTTGATCAAAGAAGATATGTCGGGAGAGCACGAGATTGATACCTCTAAACCCTAGGCTAAGAGACCCGAGCTGCTGTGGGCAAACCACAGTGGTCCTGTGATTGCCATCATCAAAGACAGTGCATTATACGATGGATTACTCCACTGCCTGTTCATTCGCTTATCCATATTTTATATAATATATATATATGTGTGTGTGTATATATATATGTATTACACATGGACAGTGGAGTGTCATTACAGGTCAATAGCTTACCTAAGCCAGAACTGGGAATCCACTGCACATTAATCTTTTTTTGTTGAATCATGGTGGGCTACATCATGGCACACCCCAATTGACAAATGTCAGAGTAATTGCCTTTATAATTCTCAGTTTATGCCCACATGGTCTTTTTTAAACTAAATTTTGTATACTTTAAGGTCATGCTTGTGTTAGATTTAAAGCATAGACTTTGATTTGATATTTGTCCTGAAATTTAGAAATAATGCAATCATTAGTCCAAAAAAATTTTTTGGGGGGGATAAAGCTAACGACTAGACTACAGTTATATCTTAATTAATTATATACAATTACATGAAGTTAAGAATTGCATGTTATTGATGCTATCAGTTAAACATTGATATCTTATAATACACCTTATTCTTCTGATCACGGTGATGTAAATGTCTAAAAGATCACAGAGTCTTGACTTCTCTGTAACATGTAACAGTGTTACATCTGGGTGGCGATGTAACTGCACGGTAAATATGTCAAGACAACTGTGACTTTTTTTAGGTTCTGATTTGTTTATCCATGTCCCATGAGTTTTATGATGGACCAAGCAAGCTTTGGAAAGGAAGATACTTTTTTTCCTAAATACCACTCACTGCTCCCCAATTTTTTTGTTTTGTTTTCATGCAGAACTATAGAGTAGGATTCATTATAATATTTTGCATATTCAGTGTTCTGAATATTATTGTGTGGTCATCTTCTGTCGAAAGACTTTAGATTTGCCTTATTTGACTTAACCTTTTTGTTTCTTAGAGAAAACTAAAACAGTTGGACTAGCATGGAGACCTCACATCTGTGAGGGGGCTCGGTGCGTCAGAAAAAGCTGTGGAGAGGAAGAGCCCGAAACAATGATACATTCTCTCCTGATGATCTCCATGCGAAAGTCCGGGATGCTGAGCTTTTGGCTGTGAGCAGTGCATATGGATGTTTTAGACTGCATTTCTCAGAGAAAATGTTTTGAAAATTGATATGTTTCAAGAAGATATCGACATAATAGCGAACATCATCCTTATGTTTGTGTAAATGAATTTAGTGGTAAATCACTTTAGAGGAAGGAACCATGATTTCTTTTTTTTAAAGTGTGAAATTTTTGCTAGTAACCGTTGTATTTTGCCTGTAGTTGGAGATGGATAGCAGACGTCCAGTTTCCATTATCATTTAGTCATTTCACCTTTATTTTCATCTAAATAAGGTAATTCAGAAGTAATTTCTCCTGGAACACATATCGATAGTCACAAGTTTAAGCGAAAAGATAAGTTCAATTCACTACAAAAACAAATTACTACTGATGAGTTGCATAAAAAATCGCAGAGCCAAAACTGTCTCAAATCGATCTTCTTTTAAAATTTGTCATTTTTTTATTATGAATATAAAATGAGCCCTAATTTTGACATTCTTAATTAAGTCAATTATACCAGTGATATGAAAGAGCTTGTGTTTACCTCTACGTTTTTTGTAAGGCACGCATCACAAGTGTATATATTGCAGCTCTAGTCAATTTTTAAAAACTGTCTTTGAATTTTTAAATTTGGTTTTGTGCAAAAATATAGAAGCATAATTTTTTTTATTTTTTTTTTTTATCAGCATTTAAGAACCCTCTGATTTCTGTGATTTGATGGGTACCTGTAACATGGATCTCAGAACAAATTTTCACCAAACAGAAAAAGATATTGAGTTACAGGTACCCATGAAATGATTCAATATCTTTTTCTGTTTGGTGAAAATTTGCTTTGAGACCCATGTCATAGCAGTTACAATATTTCATCACTTGGTTTTAATGCGTACTTAAGCAAAAAGACTGAAAGTTTCCCCCCCCAGTACAATTGTGGAAAAGTTCAACCATTTTTATTCAAGCTTTTCAGTTTTGTTTTTATGGCCCCTAAAACCATTCCTGCAAGAAATAAAACTTTTCTTTTACAAGGATATACAGTGTATATTCGGTACTTAAGTTTTTCTGTACATGAATAATTTGCTGTAAAAGTACAAGGCCATTAATCTAGAAAAATTAAGGAGACTGAATGTCGGAGCTACATAGCTTTAAAAGAGATGACATGGATATTCGAAAACTGACGTTGTGTGTATCAAAATTTTAGGAGAACAGAGATAGCTTCTGATGTGTTGTTTTTGTAATGATTGTTTCTATTCATGTCTCATTCCATGTTTCACGAGTTTTGTTTTGTCTTTTCTCAAAGTCAGGTTTACACATGTATGTTCTGTCTGTAGTTGTTTAGCAAAATGTCTTTTCTGCAGCCTTGAGGAAAGAGTAGTTGGTAGCTATTCTAGGTCGGTCCTCTTCTTTGGCTTCTTTTTGTAGTAGTTTTTTTTCTTTTTCCTCATCTTCTCGCAGCAAAACAGTTACCACTGGTGTACTGATTCTCTGTAAACTGTATTCAACATTAGTTATTGACATGTAAAACTTTGAGCTTTAATAAATGTCGTCAGTGGAGTTCTTGCTCTGTGTGTGTAGTGTGTCATTCATGCCATACCTGTACCAATATACCTGCTGTATATTTGCAGTATGAGTCCTGAAACATCTGAGTGTTGTATTCCATCATAGATATATTTTGTCTATGTCATCAAGTCTATGTCATCAAATAATATTATAATCATCCTCATTGTTACTTTTGTATGAGTTGTGTACAGTCATCATAGAAAGAAACTCATCAGCTAAAATCAGTACAATGGGGAAAATGGATCAATTATATAACTTATGTACACCTACTTGATGTTGTTCTTGATTTATTTTTTTCTTCAGAAGAATTACATGTTCGGCCAGTTTTTGTTTATTGTTGGTTCTTGCAAGTTCATGTTCAGGTTTAGGAGATTCTGAGTTTGGAGGATTATGAGGGTACTTGTGGGCTGAAACAGTAATTATGTTTAAATGTTGATATAAAAACAGATGGATGAGGCTGATTGATCTTTCTTTTGGAATGAAAAATGCGTGGTGGAATTCTAAAATTAAGACGTTAAGGGTAGGATCATGGGAACAGGTTTTTAAAAAAATTGTGTTAGTGACATTGTACTTTCCTGCAGCATCTGCATCTTGTTAGACCATGCGGGTTTGCTCTCCTTTTTGGTTTCTCCTGTTTTTGCATCTCTGTGATTCATTGTCATCTCTCCACACAGCTCAAGTTTGCAAGATTTGAGCTTGTTTGACATGCTGTAAAAAGCTTTTTACATCTCAGAAAGAGACTGTCTTCCATGACCAGCTTTTGTTACCTCCGTGTGTAAGCACAAGAGGTTTGGTGTTTGATCTATTGTTTATTCATTGTAGTAAATTCTCTCTTTATAACATTTGGTTTGGATTTGATTTGCACTGCACTCTAACCTCTTTTTGTTTATTTCTAAAGTATTTCACTTGAGCTGTATGTCTGTGTTCTATGTTATTATGCTTATTGTTCATGTTAATGTGCAGAGACAGGTATTAGGTACATGCCCTGAGAACATGGTTTTCTTGCCGGCATCAGACATATACAGTTTGACTAGTGTTCATTCCAATGATCGCATTCTGCTGAAACACTGATATGAAGCCTCTCACAATACATACTTTTATTCATTTATAAGTATAATAAGTGGGTGGTTGACGGGTGCTCTGGTGTGGTTTGCTTCTTCTTTCCTATAAAAAAATCTATCTCCCCTCCTCCTTTTTTGTGTTTGTTACTCTCTTGTAACACCTCTAATCTTCTGGCGCTCATATGACCTTTTGCAGTTGCGAGCGCCGTAAAACTCTTACTAAAACTAACTAAACTAAAACTAAAGTATAATAAGCACAAATCACCCGCTCACACACATTTAATGCATTTATGTTTGGACCTAGCAGGGTGGTTTGGCTTTTCTAGAAAAATAGCGAAGAGAAAAAGACTTCTTTTGCACTACCTGCTGCCTCCGTACAGTATAGAGTAACAAAAGAAGCAAGGCACATTTGCAGAAAATAGTGCTTCTGAGGTTTTCAAATACTTTTCATTTTTTAAATAATTGTCATGTCTTACACTTACATGTTTCATGTAGCCATAATTTCCTCAATACCAATTGTGCGTTTGTTTGTTTTTTAATTTTTGGCTTACAGTTGAGCCTGTAAATTTTACTGTGTGGCTAGAATTGCCTTCAACTTCAAATCATCAAGTTCTATTGTCTACTAAAAGTAAACGGTACACACATGAAAAGAAATATTTTTCTCTTGCCAACACAAGTGCACATACTAATCCAAAACACACTGAATGACAAAAATACAAAAATGCATACTTCCCACAAACCCCCACCACAAGTTATATGCTATGAGTTCCTCAAAGGGGGTGCCATAATCATTGTTTTAATAACTCATTCATAGCAGGTGAAAACTGTTATCTTCTCTTCGGTCATTTGGTTTGTTACTCCCTCCCTCCCCCCCGTTCCCCCTCTATTTTTTTTTCCTTTCTTCATTTAAGGTCTGTCACAGGTTTAGTCTCCATGTCCTTTCCATAACACATAAGAGCCATTTGAGGCAATATTTCCATTGATTATTTATCAACCAGTGTATATCTCAGGTAAGTCTGTGCTTGTGGTTTCACATGTGGACAGAAAGTGGGTATTTGCTATAGATAGAAGCATGTCCCATCAAATGACCATGAAGTGTGCAAATGAGGTGTTTACTCCGACTCCGGCACAAAAGTCTTGCCAATTTATGATTGTCCTGTGCCGTTGGTTCTCTGTGCATGTGCTGATGAACTTGGATGTGAGTTTTAAGTACTTGTGACACAAAGCGTCTGTCAGTGATACAGGGGGAAGACTGCCCTTGTGTGAGGTTCCTAACTTAGTTTATTCCAGTGTCTGAAATTGACATTAAGTGCAGGAGCAGGTTTGCCTTCAAAGTAAAAGAAATATTCAAGAATATTTCTCACATTGTAAATGAAACCAGCAAAATAATGTCTTCTTTGGTGAAATTATTTGTGTGGTGGTGGGGGTTGTTTTTTGTTGTTGTTTTTTTTTGTGTGTTTTTTTTTGGGGGGTTGCCTTCGATAAAAGATTTGAGTTTAATCAGCCAGTTGGGATGATATTTTATCTTGCTTCTTTCTGCTCAGATCTAGTAGGCAAGGCAGAGCATCCCTCTCTCTACATGATTGAAATTCTGTCGATGGAGACATGAAACATATACCATCTATCAGCATCAATATACTCATCATCCTTTTCATTGATAAATTTCCTGGTTTTGTCTCTCTGTCATAGCAGACTTAAGCTGTAATTTGCTTTCAGTGTGATGCCTGGAATTTTAGGTCAGGGTATATATATCATGTATCACTTCATTAGTTGAATGGGCTTTTTTTATTGCTTTTATGCAGATTTTAAAAATAATTCTTTGTTCTCTGCCTATACTTCTGCCTTGTATAATTAATCAACCCTCCTGAAGTTGAAGTGGTGTGAAATCTGCTATGTCATTGTAGGCTAAAAGGCTTGTTTCTTTTATCGTTGTTATGCATTGATTCTTAATGAAAATGTTCCTTGGTGTGGAAAATTTCTTGTACATGATGTAGTTGTACATTCAGTGCTAGATCTATACTGTACATACGCGACACAATCTTGAGTAATTGTCATGAGTGCTTTGCTTCTTCGGTCACCCACCAACTTCTTCCGGACTTCTGTGTATTTTGTTTTGATCATTTGGCTTGACAAGAGTCAGTTGATCTAGACAATATATTTGTGTATGCTGATGATAGGGGAGCAGATTGGACTGAATTGTGATTGAAAAACTGACCAGGGCTGCTCCTTAACTGAACATTTTCCTGAATTCTAGAATCTAAAATGAAATGTTATGTCAATATTGACGAGTAAGCATTAAAATTCTGGAAAAACTTTGCTCTGTTAAAGTTTGAGTATAATGCAATAGTGAGCTTATAGCTACTAAGTGTAGTGTTTGGTATAAAACATTGTCTTTGGGGCTTGACAAAAGAATTCTGCTGACTTCGTAGGTTGGGGGGGGGGGGGGGCACATGTCCGACATACCTTCCAACATGTTGTACTCGGCTCATTTGGCAGGCATTGATGCCAATCATTCTTGAAAGAGAAAATCTTTGTTTTTATCTCAGGGGCATACATTGCTAGATTTTGGCTAATGAATGCGGCCGATAAATAATAATGGTCCAAAATCTGTTCCTTCTTTGATGGTTTTGGTTATATATACTTTTAGAACATGATAATGATATCAATATACAGTATAACATGGATGGCTCGAATTCGTCAGGACCAGCCACGGTAGTTCAAGGGATCCGTAGTTCGAGGGATATCTTACAAAGATGAAGAAGAGAAAAAAATGAGACCGCAGGCACAGTTTGAAGGATGCGTGATTTCGAGTCTTCTGTGTTTGATCTATCTGTGTTATATTGTATATATATTATATTAATATGTCTTTCTGGATACAATCCAGTTTGTCCTTGAATTCTGGGCGGCGCCCATCAGTGATGTACAGTATTTTGCGTTTGTTCTTCTGTTTGTATACCATCTTGTGTACTTTGCGCGTCTGTTTATTACTATGGCGACAAGGTAGAATAGAGTTGTGGATCTCTTCCTTTGCCCCTTTCTTCCCGTGCTAATCCCTTCTGAGCCTGTGCAATACACTCAACCATGAGCGATGCAGACTACAACTGAACCTGATATAGGGCGTATGGCTCTTAATTGTTGTCCTTATTGTATTATCATTATTTTGCGAATAATAGACCCACATATTTCATACCTCCTCTTTTTATCATTTTTTTAGAGCATTGCTGTATTTATTTATTTTCTTCTTTTTTTTTTTGGCAAATGTAAAGATGCATGAATATATATATATATGTGCGTAGCTGTTTTTTCATTAATGTGTGAGCAAAATTTCTGTACAAATCCCTTTCATTCTGTCTGTGCCGTATTGTGATAAAAGAGGAACTGTCCCACTTTTCACAAAGTGATAGAGTTATGCAATGTACAATTCCTCCATGGTCCTCACAGAATTCAGATTTGGGGATTAGGATTAGTGCTATGTTACAAAAAACTGTGTCATTTTAAAACAATTTGCAAATTACGTGGGAAAGTTACATATGTTGTACAAACAAAAGCAGGAAAGTGTACGCTTTCATCACTTTGTGAAAAAGTGGGATGTAATAAACATTGTCTGTGTGCGTTTGCCATAAGTCTTTGATGAATAAACCAATTAAAGAGATTTATTGCGTCGTGTGTTCCTGAATGTCAGACGTCCTGCTTCTACCCTTGTAACACCTCTATTCTTCGGCACTTATATATGACGCGCTCAAGGAACATGGTAGCGCTGATGGTATCGAAACAGCCGCGGTCGGGGAACATGGTAGCGCTAATGGTATCGAAACAGCCGCGGTCGGGGAACATGGTAGCGCTGATGGTATCGAAACAGCCGCGGTCGGGGAACATGGCTGCGCTGATGGTATCGAAACGGCTGCGGTCGGGGAACATGGCAGCGCTGATGGTATCGAAACAGCCGCGGTCGGGGAATATTATGGCCACAGTATGGTACTTGAGAATGGGAAAAAATTCCCGTTTTCCTATTCGTAACTACATGTAATTGACGTCTGTGGTACAGAGTTTAGAGGGGGCTCTCGTGGCCTAGAGGTTAAGGTGTTGGCCTCTCATTCAAAGGTCCCGGTTCGAATCCGGGTAGCGACCGAAAAATTTTCCTCTCTAAAATTGTCTCCTTTCACCTTCTTTCCTGCTCTCTAACAATGTTCTGGTGTCTGCTTTCATTTCCACTTTCTGCCCCCGCCCCCTCACCTCCTTTGCCCCCTCCTCTGGGCTCCTGACTCTTTCTGCAGCCTTTCTTCTGCTACTCCTTAGCTCCTCCTTACTGCTGTCTTTCTGCCACACCCCTGATCTTCTGGTAGGAAAGATCTACACCTAGCCTTCTCGGACAAGGGCGAAAAATCTCGGAGGGCCTGTGTGCAAGTTGCGCACGTTAAAGTTCCTTGGTGGTCTAAAATCGATAAGAGTAGGCTTCGGCCGCCACCCGGGCAAAATTCAAAATGTCCTACCAACTGAAAACATTATGTGTGTCCCGCGCGCTCATATGACCTTATGCAGTTGCGAGCGCCGTAAAAAACTTTACAAAAACCAAAAAACAGAGGTTAGGCACTTTGCTTTTGCACGTAGGAGACCCGAGTTGGATTCCCGAGTGGGTACGGTAGAAAATCTATCGAATATGTCGGTCTTTCTGCTGGGATGTTGTATCCTGTTCAGCCATAGATGTACACTACATGTACTAGGTTTTATTTTAAAAGGAGATAACTCTATGTGTTCAGCCCTGGTAGGCCCTGACTGGCTGGTTTGGAAGCCCGTCTTCTGACATATATTCTTAATTGTGATGATGGAGGCGAAAATAGACTAACTGCATTTCTTCATTTAATGAATCGTAATAGCAGAGTTTGTTTCCCGAAGATGTAGAATGGCCACACGCTGGCCAGCTGTTTTTGTTTGTTTGTTTGTTTATTTGTTGTTGTTTTTTGTTGTTGTGGGGTTTTTTTTAACCAGTCAGAATGGTGTCTGAGTGTAAATATAGTCTCACAATTAAAGGCAATTCACCGTGGTCGCGGTTGGTACCACTACTCTATCAAATCCAGAACTAGATCTAGGCGTGTACAGAATTTTTTAAAATATATTTAAAGCGGTCGTAACAATTACCTCGATTCAGATCTTATTCGACCTTCTCTCAAATTGCCAGTTCATCAAACCTACAGAAACGATACCGCGGGGTATTATTAGCAAAGTTAGCGAAGTACACGTGAAGCTGAACTCGACACGAGTTTTTCAAGTACGATAGCATCTTTTAGTCATTCCACAAGAGGGGTCAATGAGCATATTATGCAATGATACATTTATCATGTACCAACATCTATTACCCCGTAAACAGACCAGCACCCGTCCCATTTTCCTCCTCTTTAAAAGAAAATCCAACGGGCTACTACTAAACAACATTTAATAAAACCATAGTTCGAACAGCAGATCCAAATCTGGGCCAGAAGTCTCTCCCACAACGCCTTTAAAACGTGGCGACCGAACCATCAGCCACACAAATGCAGGACACAAACAGCCAGACAGACAGCACAGGTTTTTCTTCATTGACTCACACTGTTACTGAGTTACTGGAGCGAGGTGGGGATCTTGTTCAGCACTTTTGTCTCGAGCGTGGTGGTGATTAAACTGGGCTACATGTAGTTACCATTGTTTGTTTGGTTGGTTGGTTATTTGTTTGTTGTTGGGTTGTTGTTGTTTTTTTGGGGGGGTTGTTTTGTTTGGATGGTTTTGTTTTGTTTTTTGGGGGTGGTAGGGCCTAAATGTTTTACGGCGCTCGCAACTGCATAAAG